GAGCAGGAAAGGTTGTCAACACGTGGGTGTTGCCGCAAAGTTCTTGCCAGGGACAAGGAAAATAATACAGCGTCATTTTTCGGACAGATGCACACGTCGTACTGTACATGGTATTTCCGTTTCCTGTTTACGATGACAAAGGCGGCCTTCACGTAAGATCGACAAGTTGGTAAACGCGAAAATCCTATACGGATTAGGCGAACTCGAGTACAAAAGTGAGATGGTCGTCCAGGATAGACTATAGTGAGAGCTCTATCGTTTCGAATCAACCATCTGAGAGAGGAGATGTAAGAAATAGGGATATTGTAGAAGAAACGAGCTGACCAACAACAGTTGCCGGGGTCTACCGGCTAAGCCCTCGAAGAAAAAAAAAAAAAAGATAAAGAAAAAGTGGAGAGGAGGTGAAAAAAGAGAAGAAGGTTCATAGAAGAGATGGGGGCTCGCTAGCTCCAGGTATGTAAAAGCATATAGGTGCATTGCACAAAGGCCAATCATAGAATAGCAACGAAGAAAGGAGATGGTGAGAGAGAGAGAGAGAGGAAAGAGGAAAAAAAGAAGAGTGAAACCCAATAGAGTGAGAGTACGTGTGCGGGTATATTATATAGGGACTCGCGGTGAGGGAAACAGGTTTTACGCATTCTTTTCAAACTTGATGCTGCTGTGTTGCACTCAACATCGCTATATAATATAGATTTGCCGGTGGGGCGCTTCGTCTACTACTGCTATTACTGCTGCTGCTGCAACCACTATTATTGCCACTACTATTATCATCGGCGAGGATGTACTTGTGTATATGTATATATATATATACACCTTCCTCCTCTTCATCACTTTTATGTATGGCAGCATCAGTTGGAACAACCTAAGGCGAGAGAAATCGAAAGCGCGAAGATGGAAGCTTATGGTTGCAGGTATACGCAACTATCCTGGGATGCATCTTTGGCTGAACTTACATACTTGTTGGATCATTTTTATCACAGAAGAAAAGAAAAAGCTATGATGCTGTGTTGGTTCATAGAGCATTGGATGTAATGACAATAAATGTTATATACTTTGTTCTCAGGAATTACTAATTCGTGACGTGTGGCTGTTTATATTTTTCATTGGGTGTATACTGAGAGCTGAAGTAGGGTCGTAGGTTTAAAGGTTTAGAAGGTTAGGTTCACACCGGGGATTCCCCCAATTCTCTGATATTTCGGTGTCTTTTTTTTCTTTTTTTAGTACGTTTTGTTGTAGTGAGTACTAGTTTTGTGGTGATTACATTTAGACTTATCGATGGATCTTTATCGAGGTTCTTGTGAGCAATTACAATTTTCATTTTGGTTTTTTCGTACTTTGCAATGGTTACCAAATTAATAATCTTGACCTCACGATAAATATCAAAATGAACTGTTTTGTTTCTTCCAAGCCGTTATTTCTCTCAAACAGTCAAACAAGTGAAAAGTCATAATCACACGTAAAAATCCAAACGACGAGACAATCTCGGGAGTTGGCAAGTGCGCGTCGAGTGACGAGTAAGTAAGAGAGACACTCGAAGAATAAGTGCAGGAGTGCGTAGTTTGTCTTTTGAGATGCACTCCCGAGTCCAGGTTTAGCTCCTCTAGTCTGAGCATAGGTCTGCGACGGAAGCAATTGTCGGTTGGTCAATTGGAAGATGGATACTTATGTCGCGCGCGTGCACTTGGGCTTGGCCCGGCCCTGAGCGCGAGTCAGTCGCCTCTTCTAACTATACCTACATCACATACATATGTATCAGGCAGTATAATTATAAATTTACAAGTACAAGAAAAATGAAAGAATATAAATGTTGTTATTTTATACGCGGCTGTTTATTCCCTCGAGCTATTTCATCTTCTCTTCTCGTATTGAGTAAGGGTCCAAGGTCAGGGTTGCATGTGCGCAGGGTCAGACAGCGACCTTGAAAATCGTATATCTTGAGAAAAAGAAAGGAAGGAAGGGAGAACGCGAACGCAAAGAAGGGAGGGAGAGAGAACTGAGCGCCAACTGGATCTCTGGTGTCTCCACGGATGGTGATAGTGGTTTTTGTATGCAGCGATGCAGAAGTGGGAACAAAAATTTCATACATCAACCCCGAGGAAAGGGAAACAAAAATTTATTGCAATCAAACAACAAATGTCAATAATAAACATATAAGTTTAGATGCGTTGTTGCTTCGATGGTATTGAAGGTTGGGTAATTTGAAAATGGTAAATAATTTAAAAATGGAATTGCGGTAAAATACATACATGAGCTCAGTTGTTGGTACGATAAGAATGCCTGACCGACAAAGGACGTGCAAACATGTAATTTTCCGACTTTATTCTAATTGTTCGGTACAAATAGGTGATGCAAAACTTTACAACTTTAAATTACAAGCTGTAAAAAAAAAAAAAAAAAAAATTCATTTGAAAACAAAACGAAGCTTTCGGCCGAAGCTTCATTCCCAGACGAAAAGTGAAACCACGAAAATACAATACGCACACACGGGCTGCTCTCGTCTTTCACTTGGCGAAGGACACGAGTTTATAAAATCCACAAGGACACAATTTATTTACAACTCGGATAAACCAGTTAAACTCCACAACAGAAGATCATGGTGACAGGCATTTTTTTCATGTCCATTTAAATGCCCGTGTGCAGTGTAGAAAAATCCAACGAGAAAACCATAGCCCTGGAACCGCTCAGTGCATTGCCCAAATTCAAACTTGGGTAGCCCCAAGTCATTCAAGTTTTACTGCAGCAGCGACCATCCATCCAAGTACCTACTAACCACAGACATTTAGCGCTAACAATTGTGTATCTTACGAGTTCAACCCACTGCTAGTTATTGTTGCAATTAATAATAATTTATTTATTAATTTGCACGCGTGGATATTCAGAGCAATTCGGAAAGGGTTGTTAACTAATTAGAGTTGCAAGGATTCGGTGTTGTAACAAGTCGTCAAACTATAACGCGTTGGATCAATTCGCTCATGACTATTTTGTGGATGGAATCATGACTAAGGTGATAGAATACTACTTCGAACTTCCAACGACACAATTTTTAAATAAATACAATCGTATGTGATTATTTTTTTATGCAAATGTACATTTATTTTTTTATATCATTCACTAATGTCACAAATCATTGGTTGACATCACTGCAATACATTAATTTCCCTTCAAATATAAAAGTAAGATTCAGTTTTAGAGTTCTTATACAATCAATTATAGGTAATGATTAATTGTTAAATCGAATCTGTTGTCACATATACGTGGTTTAACGATACCAGGTAAACAATCTCTTATATTACGCGCTTACGGAGTTTATGAAACTTGGGTTTTTGAAATAAGGTTTTTATGACTTTTGATTTTCTGTACCGAAATGTTTGCATCACTATGTTACTGATATTCATCTGAAAGAGTCTTAAGTTATCCATTAACCATCTTCAGCACATTAAATAACCCCGAGAAAGTTAATAAGACTGTATTTCGTATAGTTTACTTTGTGGGGTGTTAGTTTATCGGTGAGACTATCAGAAAGTCTTTTTTTTATCCTAATAAGTGAAATAATTGACAACAGGAGGATAAGATGCACAAAAATGTTTATCACGAGTCGCTTGAATATTGCTTGAAAAAGTATAACTCACAGCAAGACTATTCAGTATTTGAGCTCTACCAGGCTCCATTTTGACTTGAAATATCGATGGGTACTCGCATGGAAATGACACTGGCAATAATAATATTACTTTTTTGAGATCCAACGAGGGAACAAAAAAAATATGAGATGCTATGTATATAATCCTGCTCTTCTCTTCATATTGTTTACGAATAAGTTGTGGTTGCGCTTATTTGTATAAATTATTTATGCATGAAAGTCATCAAATTTTTATCAATATTTGGATAGTAGGGTTCGAAAGTAAAACTGAATATATTGAGATACAAAAACAGATAATTTTTTATCATGAGAACTGCAACCATTGATAAATGAAAAAAAAAATTGCATATCCAAAAAACTGACCCTGAAAATGTTCGAGCAAGACTTCACTTGAAGATTAGTTGCCAAGAGCCATGCAGGGAGCCAATTGTTATCAAAAAATTCGACTGTGCTCTCCCAAAGCCTCGAAAGTACTTAATCACGGATACGAGCAGTGTCTCCGATCAGTAAGCAAGTGGCCAACGTAAGCAGCGTACAGGTTGTGAAGTTTTTGCAATATAAAGGTAGGTGTGCATATTAAGAGTCTATATAATTTCGTTTGTTTTTCCTAACTGGCATACAATGGTCACCAACATTCACAACTTTGGATTTTTTCTGAGGTATTTTGTACGAATTGTAAAACTTTCTCTACTAGTGGATGTTTAATCGACTAAAAATAATTTCCGTTATTTTAATCGTTATGTAGACAAGCGTCAAATCATAACAGTTAAACTAGAATATTTTTCTCTAGAAAAAAAAACCAGTGTAAAAAGTCAAATTATTAAGTTACAATAAAAAAAAAAGTAATAATTTTTTTCCAATCTCAGTAATTAGGTAAATGTCTGTAAATTATTGTCCCTTTAGTGAAAATTTTTCGGTTGCAACAATAATGTTCTTTACCGCATTATAATTTTAACGGATGAAAATTATTACCACCTTGTATTTATATTTTGTATAGTTTTAAAAATAATATTGTATAAAACATGTGTACGTGAGTTTTCAACACTAGTGTGGCCATCTTGACAGTAATTACCGCCTTTGTCGACAGCTTGAACAATCATTAAATGATATTCTTGTGCAATTAATTCTGCACTTTATCTTCTGATTACTAAAACCTCCGCATAAGGTTATTACTTGCGCTAAAAAAATGGCATGTCTGCTTATTAATGTGAAATATTATTTAAAAAATTTTTTTTCAGTTACTTTAAGAAATGCAATTCTAAGTGTACATTAAAAATTGACGCAAACGCATGAACAAAAATTTTTTTTAAGTATTATATATATATGCATATATTATTTCAGTTGACACGTTAAAATAACAAACATGAAGGAGCAAAAAATGTATCTTTACTTAGTATTTTTCGCAACATTCGTCCTTGCTTCGAGCCACATGAGAGTACCGAGCTTCAGTGACTTGAAAGTCCCTAATGTTCTCGATGAAAATCTTGCAAATATAGGAGATAAACTGCCTAAGTTGGACAGTAAAATCCCAAATATTTTTGGTAAAGATATTGGAAGCATAGCAGATGGGCTTCCTAAATTAGATACTAATCTCCCCAAAGTTATGGACGAAAAGATTAAAAATGTGACACAGGCACTTCCTACGTTGGATATTAAACCCCCCAGTTTTCTCGGCAAAGACATATTCACCAAAGATGATAGATCGAACAAATTGGTAGCAGTAAGTTTGATATTTTATGTTGTAATTTTTTTGATACGGCATCAATCAGTTGCAAAATACAAGGTATTTTAGTTGACCTCCTCGTCAAACGAATTATCTTGAATAAAGATTCACGCATAGACAGTGGTATCCCGTTCACTTGGTATCGGTATTTCGGTATTTATGTCAAAAACCATCAATTATTATTTTTTTAAAAACATGTAAAAAATTATCCATTTCTTTGAAGACATTGAACAAAAAAAATGAGGTATAACGTATAAGAAAATATTTACTTTGAAATTAAGATCCAAACAAATTTCATTATTAGAAAATTTGCAAATTATAAAGAAACAAATTTCTTCTCATAAAGTGATTAAGTATATATATCTTCTTTGCGTGGCCCAATGAGCATACCCTATAGTTGGTATATGACTTTTTTTACAAAATAAAAACAATTGCAACCGATGGACCAGTTTTTCAAAAGTGTCGTTCGTTCGAAAAATACATTGCACTGGCAGAAAACAAGTCATCGATTTTATTATTTTTCCAGTCAGAACTGTTCAAAAAAGAAGGTTACACAGTTGAGGAACACGTAGTTGAGACCGAAGATGGTTACATACTGACGATGCATCGGATACCAGGACCTCCCGGTGCACCAACTGTTTACATTCAACACGGCTTGCTAAGTAGTTCGGTGGATTGGATCGTCCCTGGGAAAAATAAGGCGCTCCGTAAGTAAACTTGCAGTAATGACCTTTACCCAATCGTTAAGTATTTTACTTACCTTCTCACCAACGCAACGAAATGTTCGAATTTTTTATTTATTGTAGCATTTATCCTGGCCGATCTTGGTTACGACGTTTGGCTGGGAAACACACGTGGAAACACTTACTCTAAATCCCACAAAACTATTCCTCCTAATGATGTACGGTACTGGGATTTCAGGTAATTTTTCACTATTTTCAAAAATTACAGTGAAGACCACGACGTTTCCCATTGCATGAAACGTACTTTCTAAATTTGAAATAATGATAGTGCGTATTCGTGCACTGTAAAATAAAGGATTTTACCGCGAAATAGTGAATATTCACTATTTGAATCAGTTGGTTCACTTATTGTTCGTATACCACTCAAAATAATATGTATGGCTAAGGGTTAAGATCGTTAATTGGATGACTGATAAATGTTTAGAATAAAAATTTATAAAATTATATCGACTGGGAAAATCCTGCGACTTTCACTATTTCAAAATTAGTGAGTACCTGTGCCAAAACAGCACACAAAACTTTGCGGGTTGTTAGCGAGTCCTTGAAAAGAGATTTACTCGTTCTTGCAGTTGGCACGAAATGGGGATCTACGATTTGCCAGCATTAATATCATACGTAGTAAAACAAAAAGGTGGAAACATAACTTACATTGGCCACTCGATGGGAACAACGATGTTTTACGTCATGGCCATCGAGAGGCCGGATATAGCGTCGAACATCAGTCTCATGATCAGTTTGGCTCCAGTGGCATTTATGGAAAATATCAAGAGCCCACTAAGATTGCTCGCGCCGTTTACAGATCAAGTGGAGGTACTTTGAAGTAATCGAAGCGCGTGAGATTGCGGCCTCTGGTCTTTCGAGTTCGTGGGGAGAATAATCTCTAGATAAAATGAGAGAAAATTCAAGATACGAATACGAGTGACCGAAGGCGATCGAGTGAATGTCAAGTCAAAGGACAAACATTGTTTTGCACGAACCAGTAGGGGCATCGTAAAATTTAATTAATTTTTTTTCACCCTTTTTACATACATTGATATTTACGTGTTTTGTTGAGCTAATACTATTTGCAAACGGTGCACTTTGAAATATGGTTTTTTTTTTTCACAAGTGCGCCATGATGTTTGCTCTATGACACGATGTTTACTTCTTCTTACGGTATATTTAATCATAAACAAGTGCATTTTGATGGACGTTTATCGCCTTCTTATTACACTGAAACAAACATTTCTTTAACTCTCGAAAGTATTTATTAAAATATCTCTAAGTAAACAATTTCTGGAAATAACATAATACTTGTATATTTTGAGAAAATACCCAGTTGAAACAAGAAAGTATTATTGCTATAAAAAATGTCTTTAGTTTGTTTCAAGAGAATGTATCAACTTAAAACGTTCTCGTAAAAAATTTCTTTTGATTTTGAAAAATTTTTCTTTCAGTGCGCTTTATCGAACGAAAATTATATAATGTCCTAATCAAAGTGCACGTTTTGAGATAAAAATTTGTCGCTCCGAGGGTATTTCCCAATATAAAATGTACTAAATCATAAGGCTTTCAACAACTTTTTCCTACTGTTTTACACAGGCAATTTTCAATCTACTGGGAAAAGGAGAATTTTTACCACAAAGGAAAGTAACACAACATGTTGCCAAACTTTACTGCGGTATCGTTCCACTTGGAGATAAAGTTTGCGAAAACTCGTTGTTCCTCATAGCTGGATTCGACAGATCACAATTTAATTCTGTAAGCAACTGTTCATGCTAACTCAATGTTGGACCATGATTTATTTATTTAAAAAAAAAAAAATTTTCCACTGACGATTGTTTTCCTCGCAGACTCTCATGCCTACCATTCTCACGTATTCACCAGCTGGAGCGTCGACCAAGTCTATGATTCACTATGCCCAAGAAATTAATTCAGGGCGATTCCATCGTTTCGATTACGGTCCCGATGAAAACATGAAAAAGTACAACAGTTCAACACCACCTGACTATGATTTGTCAAAAATAAAAGTCCCGATGGCACTGTTTTGGGGAGTAAATGACTTCCTGGCACACCCAACGGTAAGTCAGAAGGTGTCCTCGTAACATACGAGCACGATTGGAAATGTGAAAAATAGTTATTATGCTTCACTATGTTTATTTTGTGGAAATATAACAATTACACTGTAAAAAAGTGTAAAATATTCGTATGCACTCGCGTGCCAATGTATGTGACTATGTTTTGAATTAGCATTCAGTTTAATTAGTTGGTAGAACATTTACAAAACTCGTGTTTCTTTGGATCAGCACCAATTTTTTTTTTCTTTTCAGGATGTAAATAGATTATTTGATGGTCTACCGAACAAAGTAATGAGTTACCAGGTTAAACATCCCAAATTTAGTCACATCGACTTTTTGTGGGCTGTTGATGCACCGTCACTACTTTACAAGGAAATTGTTGATCTTATAAAAAAATATTCCAAACCAACAACGTCGTCGGAATCTAACATAGTTCATTGAATTAAAAGTATAAATATGAAATTTAAACGTTAATTAGTAAGCTTTTGTCGTTGACAAAATGTCGTGATAGTAAAATAGTTTTGTAATATGAACATCAATTTGGTAAATAAACTATGTTATGACTGTCTGTTATAATAGTTTAAACGTGTTAACCAAAACTCAATGTCTTTTAATCAAAACGTCATTTTAACCCCTTTTTTAGTTGTCTCGCCCGGATTGTTTTCATTTCAGGTGATTTTTACCTTGAAATGTCACCGAAGGAATCACCTCGGAATAAATTATATAAAATTTACAAAATTTAAAGAAATAGTACATTACAAGCGCCTAGAAATATTCTCGTCCATTGATACAAATAATTAACAAGGTGGAGCATCTGTTTTGAGCAAGGCAAAGACAAATTAATCAAAAATCTCAAAGAATTCCACTTCTTTGGTACCATTTTTTTGCTGTGTATGGAGCAAAGTTAACTGGGCACGTGTATTCGCTGAGACAGTACAATCAACTACTATCGAATAATATTAGTTTTATCCATCATGTACTTGAATATTGGTTAAACTGAGTACCTATTGGTTGTGGTAACATTGGCAGGCATTAATCACGCTGGAGTCACTTCGAGTATTTTTTTTTCTTCAGGTGTAAGTACGGAGTAAATACACACACAGAAATTCAAAGATGTTGGCCAGTTAACTATCATTTGTTAAAATGAAGATGGAAGCTGACGGTTGCACGTATATGCAGCTATTTACCTCAGAAGAAGAGAATGAGCTATTATGACTGGGTTTCCTGTGTTTTCTTAGAATTTATTCATTATCCCTTGACGTGAGGCTCAGTTTGCATATGAATTGGGTATACTGAGAGCTGAAGTAGGGTCGTAGGTTAAGAAGGTTAGGTTCACACCGGGGATTCCCCCAATTCTCTGATATTTCGGTGTCTTTTTTTTTTTTAGTACGTTTTGTTGTAGTAAGTAAGGTAAAAGTACCGATGCTGGGACGATTTTTGGTAAAATTTCGTTTCAAAATTCATATAAAATCACATCCAGGAGATAACATGAACATTTAAATTGTTATTTATATATTTTGTGTTTCTACTTATCACACAATTTTTTTATAATTTTGTCTTAGCAAGAAACAATTATAATTAATAAAAACTTAATACGTCATGTTGTACCTAACGCGAAACACCATTGAAAATGCATGTCCCAATATAGTGGTACGCGATGTCCCAATGGTGAAACGTAAGTACATGTTATTTCAATGGAATCTATGTGTTTCACCAATGGGACATCTGAAATTTGAGGTTATGTTTTGAGTTGTACGTATAATGAAACAGATATTTAAAAAAATTTTTTTTTTTATTGTAATGCAATTGAAAATAGATGATAAGTTTTATTGATATAATAAGACACCACTTTGAACATCTGAAATTAATTTATTTCATGACAAAATTCTTAAACGTTTATTAGTTATTGACTGTTCCACTATAGGGACAGAATCAAAAAGTGCGTCCCAGCATTGGTACTTTTACCTTACTAGTTTTGTGGTGATTACATTTAGAACTATCGATGGATCTTTATCGAGGTTCTTGTGAGCAATTACAATTTTCATTTTGGTTTTTTCGTACTTTGCAATGGTTACCAAATTAATAATCTTGACCTCACGATAAATATCAAAATGAACTGTTTTGTTTCTTCCAAGCCGTTATTTCTCTCAAACAGTCAAACAAGTGAAAAGTCATTATCACACGTAAAAATCCAAACGACGAGACAATCTCGGGAGTTGGCAAGTGCGCGTCGAGTGACGAGTAAGTAAGAGAGACACTCGAAGAATAAGTGCAGGAGTGCGTAGTTTGTCTTTTGAGATGCACTCCCGAGTCCAGGTTTAGCTCTTTCAGTCCCGGCGAATGTCGTCAAACAAAGTTTCTTTCGAGACGGAAGCAATTGTCGGCCGGTCAATTGGAAGATACGGCGCGCGCGTATACACGCGTGGGCCCGGCCCTGAGCGCGAATCAGTCGCCCCAGCCTCGCTACCTACCCACATTATGCATGCGGTACATAAATACCTACACGCGTATAACATACACCAGTGGAGAAGGAGACATAAATATGAGCGTTGTTATTTCATACACGTATATTTGTTCCCTCGAGCTATTTCGTCTTCTTATCGCTGCTCTGTGTTGTGTGCTTGTGTTGCATTGGGTGAGGGTCCAAGGTCAGGGTTGCGTGTAAGCAGGGTCAGATCGCGACCTTGAAAATCGTATATCTCGAGAGAAAGAAAGAAAGGGAGAATGAGAATACATTGATGGGGGGAGGGGAACCTGAACGCACACTGGATCTCTGGTGTACTTATCTCTGCATTGGTTTTTGTGTACATTAGAGACATACGAATTCATTAATATTTGATTTGAAGGGAGGAAGATAAAAATTGATTTCCATCAAACATAACGTACGAACTATAGCTTTAAAGATACATTATTTCGATTCAATCAATGGTTTGGCTTCAATTAATTAGGTGGATTGAACAGTACGCTGTAATTCATTAATAATCTTGTTTATGAAATAAAGTGACGACACAAGGACGTGTTTAATCGTCTATTGGGTGCAAAATGTTACGCAACAAACCTCATACACGTACTTACTGAATAAATAAAATACAACTGTTTAATTAGATGTTTACGTACCTATCGTCAAACTACTAACTTATCATCATCATCAGCGCGACAATGCTATTATATATATACCAACACTTAAACGTGCAAGTAAATTTTTTTTTTTTTTTTTTATTGACTTCGACAATTGCGCTAAAATACATGAGCTCAGTTGTTCGTACGATAAGAATGCCTGACCGACAAAGGACGTGCAAACATGTAATTTTCCGACTTTATTCTAATTGTTCGGTACAAATAGGTGATGCAAAACTTTACAACTTTAAATTACAAGCTGTAAAAAAAAAAAAAAAAAAAAAATTCATTTGAAAACAAAACGTTGCTTTCGGCCGTAGCTTCATTCCCAGACGAAAAGTGAAACCACGAAAATACAATACGCACACACGGGCCGCTCTCGTCTTTCACTCGGCGAAGGACGCGAGCATGTATATACACGGGGCAGCGCAAGTGCGCGATTCATTTACCGCGTGGACAAACCAGGTTAACCGCACGGGTGAAGAGAGGACGACGGCGACAAGCGTTTCCTCGTCTCCTTTCGGACGCACCAAGCGACACACGGGTTCATATAATACGCGCGCGTGATCTCTTTGTCTCCCATCCCTCCCCTGCGGAGTATGTTCCTGCACACGCGCGCCCCTTCGCTTCTTCCCCGTATCCTCGGCACGTACGCGCGGACAGGGAGGGCACGTTGAAGAATCGCTGGGCAAGAACGAACGGTCATATTGCGATCGGGAGAATCTTTTTTTTTTTCCCCTCTTTCATTCTTATTTCCGCGGCACCGCAAGAGAAAGAAAAAGCGGACAAAAGGGGGAGGGGGGGCTGTCGGATGAAAAAAAAAAAAAAATAAAAAAAAATAAAGAAAAAGTACGAGAGACGAAGGAGCTGACGAAGAGAAAGAGAGAGTGTTATTGTTTGGGTTCACTCGTGCTGCTGCAGCGAGAAGGAGACGAGAAAGAAAACAGCAACTAGGATGTTAGTGGAGCAACGAGGTGAGACGAAGGTACAGGGTGGGTGTGGGAAAGCTTGTTGAAAAACAGGGTGGAAAGGTGCATTTTTGTCCCTGGATTTTGGGGAGAGAGAGAGAGAGAGAGAAGATGAAGGTATAAATGAGAAAAATCGGCAAGAATGGATATGAAGAATAAAAAGAGAGGCATTATACAAATATTATATACCATTACATGACGCGCGCAAGTATTACGTGTGGCGATTGGATAATGGAAAATTGGGGTATTGGTACGAGTATAGCGAATGAGATAAGAAATATGACGTGAAGGGTATAATGGTACAATTACACACACACACACGAGGATGGCAAGTATATTGGCTACGCGTGCACTTTCGGATAAGATAGTGCGAATTTGTTGGAAAGTGATACGAATGAAAGTACACCTTATACGTGCGCGGGCAACTTTGGTGGTGACCAGATGCTTGTCAATCGATGCGTGGCCCGTCACTGCGGATCGGTCAACCGGCCGAGGATGAACCATCGTATATTACAATGCGTTGAAGAAAAAAAAAAAAAAAAAAAAAGGTGCATCGGTGGCCTGGGTTATTGTGGGTATAGCAAAGTAGGAGGGGGGGGGGAGGAAAGAAGGAAACACGCGAGCGAAGCTGAAGAAACCAAAAGAACAAGAGCCGAAAAAAAAGCGTACAATAGCGTACACGGAGGAGGAGGAGGAGGAGGAGGAGGGAAAAAGGGAGAAACAGGACGAGCGAATAGGCGACAAACAAGCGCGCGGAGAGATGGTCGGGAGGGGGTGAGGGGGGGGGAGGCGGGGTAGGCGAAGCTAGGATAGACGCAACCTGCGCTCGCACAGGAGGCCGGAGGAGCAACAAAAACAACAACGACAGCGCTCCTCCGTTTGCACTCCGCGTGGCGGCCGAGAGCGAAAACGAGAGGGAGAGAAAACCAGTCGTAGGACTCGTAGGTATGGCGCATCTTCGAGAACATAAGAATAAGAGGACGAAGAGGAGGTGTACGTGCAGGGTACTCGTACACACGCTGTATGTATACATATGTATACAACGCCGCGGCAGCCCGACGGGGGGTATAGGCTGCGTGCAGTCGCGGCCGGTGCAGCAGCGCGCAGTCTCTCGCAGCCGCTGCAGTCGGCGAGCCTGGCCAGTGAGAGCACACACGCGCATCGTAATTAAAGCGCGCGCTCCCCAACAGCCAGGACTTTGTTGTTTTCATCGTCGCACTTGTTGTTGTTGCCGTGGTTAAACACATTGGGCAGTTATCGTCCTTGGCCCATTCAGGGGGGGGGAAAAAAAAAAAAAAAAAAAAAAAAAAAAACAGTGCCAGGATGAGGGAGCCGGACAAACCTGTGGAGGATCCCCTGCACCGCCCTTCTTTGGACGGCAGCAGCAACAACAACAACAACAACAACAACAACAGCAACAACAACGGCACGTTCGACTGGACGAGCATGAGCGGCCGGCAAAAGTCCTGGTACATCCTGAGCAACATAACGGTCGAGCCGATGGTCGCGTTCTACATAATGCCGAGCGTACTCGCGTCCCTGGCCACCCAGAACCTCAACCTGGAGAAGGCGTGCAAGGTGAACCTCGGCTACCCGAGCGGCGTGTGCGACGCCCTGTCGGCCCGCAACGTGACCGCTAACCTCGAGGCCGAGGAGACGGCGGTGCAGCAGCTCGTGGCCGGCATGCAGACGTGGAAGACGGCGGTGCAGAGCTTCTTTCCCTCGATCCTGATAGTGTTCGCCGGGGCGTGGAGCGACCGGAACGGGTTGCGCAAGCCGTGCATGATGCTGCCGATCGTCGGGGAGTTCATGACCAGTGTGAGCCTCATCGCGTGCACTTACTGGTTCTACGAGCTGCCGATGGAGGTGGCCGGGTTGTGCGAGGCCCTTTGGCCGGCCCTGACCGGGGGCTGGTTCACCATGATCATGGGCACCTTCAGTTACATCGGGGACGTGACGAGCGTCGAGTCGCGGACGGTGCGCGTCGGCGCGGCAAATGCCTTTCTCAGTCTCGGGGTGCCGATCGGTATGGCCTTGTCGGGGGTTTTTTACATCAAGCTCGGGTTTTATGGGGTGTTCGGCATAGCGGCCTGTTGCTACGTGTTCAGCTTCGTGTACGGCCTCGTGGTGATCAAGGAGTCGCCGAGGGCCTTGGAGTTGAGGAAAAAGGCCATGCAGAGCAGCGAACCGACCAAGGGGAGCAGGACCGGCTGTTGGGCCGGGCTTACCGATTTCTTCGCCATCAGGCACGTGCGAGAGACGTTCAGGGTGGCGTTTAGGGACGGCCCGAGGAACCGGAGGCGCAGGGTCATGGTGCTCATGTTCATCGTCATGGTCCTCATTGGCCCCATGTACGGTTAGTGCCATATATCCATCGTATCTACAAGTATCGTGTCCTTTGCCGGACGATTATCGCGGGACGGGCAATAGTGCCTTTTTGCATGATCGGCAAATTTTCATCGGGTCTGTGGAAAAAGAAGCACCGGCAGCTCGATTACGTGTGCACTTACGGACGGACGAGTGCAGTTGATTATCGTTGGAGGAACGAAATTACGTGCGGTCGCGTTAATGGTTCAAGGTCCTTCGCGTGTAACTTTTCGCGTGACTCTGCGAATAAAAAAAAAAGAGCTCCCGAACAAAAGCGTGTAATCAGAGCTCCTCTCTCCCTCTTTTTTGACGCATCGCGATCTCCTCTCGAAAATTCCGGGCTCGATTTCCACTGCTCTCCGTTGCGCAACAGTTGTCATTCAACTCGCGCTTTCGCTTCCGTTCGCGAGTACCGTGTATGTGTGTGTGTGTGTGTGTGTGTGTGTGTACGGCAGCTAGAAAAACAAAGTGTCCGAATACGATGCCGATCAAGGGCCCGCGCAATCGGGTCAATGCGAGTGCTAATGGCCGTTTCAATGGGGCGTCTTTCGCTCCCGTGTAATTTAACAATCGCTGCTGTCCTCTCCGTCGTCGTTATCTTCGTCCTCGGGTCGCAGGGCAGGCCAAACAAAGTCGAACTACGCGCCTTTATCCCGCGAAACTGTGCCAGACCTTGATCGTGAACTTGGGTGCCTGTGTTGCGTATCTTACATCGGTATATTGTATACAAAGGTGTCAAGGTTGAACGCGCCGTCCTTTTGTCACGAGGCGAGGGTTATTGGGACAGACAAAAATCAAACCAGCCGATTTTTCATTGGCTTTTTCATTCGCGTAACCGATCGCAATGAAAAAAAAGCTCTTCAATACTCTTTTCGCTGTATCAGCTCACTCTTCTTATCTTCCCGTCCACTTTCGACCCCCCCCCCCTCCATATGTGACGTATTGGTACGGTTCATTGAGGTCCACGTGTATTACCCAAAAGTTTACGAAAATTACTCGTGTGGCTTACGCGTAATTGACTATACCACGGGACTCCCTGTTAAAACATGTACCATTGGATTATGCGATAACGCGTTAAAGCCGAATTTAAAGTCCGAGACAAAAAAAAACCAAGATGCACTAAACAGTGCTCGAATAGAGACATGATTCAGCGGCGAGCTTTCAATTAGACGGAGCGCGGGGGAAAAGTGGAGAGCAAAGGGAACCGGTCGCGGCTGTCTCGGGATCCCGCGAATTTCTGTTTGCCCAAAAAAAGGAAAAAAAAACGGGGGGGGGGGGGCAGAGCAAGTGGGCGCGTGCGGGAGATCATCGGTGTGGTCCATAGGCGTATTTCGACCGGGCGGGAGGTGGAGGGAAGGGCCGGTCGGCCGAACCGGTTTGCGAAACCGTACCTACAACCGTAATCTCGTGAAAAATTGTGCGTCGAGAAAAATTCATAAGCTATACACCTACTTATCGCACTGTCTCTCGCTTTTGGGGGTTTCTGGGTGACACATACATACGCACGTATCGGCAGTTCGGAAATAATACAGCTTCCGATCGGTTGATCCGGTTTCTCTTGCCGATCATGGAAAACTATTTTGCTTCGCCTACAACAACGTTGGTTTTTCGGTTCAAAGTGGCTTTCCACCCAAGAATCGCGAAGGAGAAGGAAGAGGAAGAAAATGCCGATTTTTTTTTCTTCCTCCGAGTTTCGAGCGAGCGGCGGGAGAAAAATCGCGAGGAAACCGTTAAGCAATGTTATAAAACACGTTTAAGAGCGTAACGTGAAAATGCAGTTCTGTATTTCGAGTAAAAGTGCCCGCGGCAGATCTCTCGCCTCCTCTCGAGCGTCGGCGTCGTTTTATATCGCGCGCACATACATGCATAACGCGTGCGATGCGAGTGCTTGAAATTCTTGGGAATAATGTGTACATTTTCCCGATACCCCCTTGTCTTTGGAACTATTTATACATCTTTCGACGTTTTAATTATGCGCGATAATGTTATTTTCTTGAAGCCAACAACGGATACAAAACAGCCCGTTGTCCAACTGTTTCGTTATTAGAATTTTTTTTATGAATAATTCATTCATTCGTTTGTTTGCTTGTTTGTTTTTCACCGAAAAATCGATCGAATCGGGTCGGTTTCTTGTTTACATATTTTGCCAATTTTTCACCGGCTACTGAATAGCGCGTGTCTCAATCGTACAAAAAAAAAAAAAAAAATACAGCTCATACAAGGAAACACACAATATTTCACTTATCAACCTGAAACGCGCACTTCATGCCCCACGCGTATAAAATCGTTACGGTGCTCGAGCCACTCGAAGACATCATAAGCAGTGCTTCAAAATAATTATCCATCTCGGCTCTCCCGACCGCCACTTTTCTATACGCTATATCGGTCTATTACTCAACCATCTCCGTAATGCACACGCAACGAAAAATCCTTCGTACTTTCCTGGTAAAAAAAAAGAAAAAAAAAAAAAAAAACAAGGATTTTCAAACCACTACCCACTATGCCATTCCTTATACATGTGCCAGTACCGAAGGTGATGATCCCAGCAACCACGCAATGTTACAAGTGAACCGCTGCTGCTTACAACCCCTCGAGATTGCAGGTCGGGACCTCGTCTTCGGCGAAGAGTTTTTGAAAAAAAAAAAAAATGCTCAACGCGCGCGTGTGCAATGGAATATGCTATTCCGCTATAACGACCTCATCGCTGCTGCAGTTGGAGGGTTATAGGGGGGGAGGGAAGCATGCCATGATGTAACATGCCGGCGCTGGATCTTTGACCGGCGAAGGAACAACTCTCCCTTTATTCCACGAAGGTGTATAGGAGGTGTATACCGAGAACCTGCAATGGAAATTCCTTTTTCTCCGATTTTCCTTTGCTCACCCTCGAGAGGATTCGTTGTTCATCGAATACCATGAGTTATCGATGTTGTTACGAGTCGTTGATAACATTAATTTTTCGTTCACCCCTTCATATCAGTTTTTTTAACTATAGCACTGTACATTCATATTTTTGTTGATGTACATCTCTGCGCTAAGTAGATGGAAATGTTTGATCGATTTACTTTAATTTACATTGAAGCTGTTAAATACTTTATTATAATGCTTTATGATTTTCTTGTAAAATTGTTCGTTTTCGTAGAAGTGTTATTTAAACTATTTACTCAACGACAGTTTTAGTTAATTTTACTGTTTTAAATACTTTAAATTGAAATTCAACGTGATTCATTTTTATCCCATATTTGAAGGAGACGTTTGAAAATGCATTTGTTGAAAGAATCTAAAGTAAATCATAAAATATATTTTTATTTGATGGAAAACTTTAAGATAAGATATTTTAAAATACTTAATGTACACTTGTATTTAACTAAATTGTTAAAAATGCATATGTATTAGAATAAAATATTTTGAATAATTTTTTCCAAGTATATTTGTATTAAAAATACATTTTTTTTTTCAATTTATTATGGTTAAAATATTTTAGTATTACTAAAATACGTAAACTTTGTTTTGTATACTGTACTTGAAAAACTGCAATTAAAAACTTTTGGCAGTAAATAAAAAGTAATATTTAACATTCATAATAATCATCTCTAAAAATTAGTATCTAATTTTAAATACAACGCCATTATAAAAAAAAAATTTTTTTTACAACGTTGTCCATGTCTACGCACTTTTACATCTAAATTACAGTGACAAATAATGTTCGATTAATCTACTTGATCAAATTATTTACTATAAAGTATATAAGTTACTAAAAAATTTCAAATAGCCAATTTAATGAGGTATCGATATCAAGAATAACATTCTGCCATGAAAAAGCGCTAGCATCAGCTTATACTTAGTACAGTAATACTAAAAACTCTACTCATATTGAGGTGAGAAGTGCGCGCGTAAATAAAAATGTATTGTAAGTGAAGTATATCTACCTCCATCCTTACATCTGAGAATGAAAGATGATTACGAATTAAAAAAAAAAGCGATAAAAGGTGCCACTTGATAGTAATTTGAAATACCGGAAGTCATCGGGTGACGACATCCAGCTGTATACGCGATCGATATTATGATGATGATGATGATGACGACGATGACGTACGTATAAGTTTTACTTGCGACTCTTTCTCCCCCTAAAAAAACGTGACAGTTATTACGTGAAGATACTAGTAGCGGAATTTTCAGGGGGTTTTTGATGAAAGCAAAAGTACGTCGAGCGCAACGTGTGAGCGTAACCATACCGATACCCGATAATCGATCCGGACGCTTGGGTTTGCAAAAACAGATAAAGCACCCATGTACATGAAAAAATCGTTATTTTTTAATGAAGAACAGGCTTTTGCCGATTGAAAAAAAAAAAAAAAAAAACGTACTAGAAGGTATTTACTTGGTATACCTCTCGAAAGGGTTACTTTCAGTATTTCATTAAGCTTGAGAGCTTTTCAATAAACCGAAAAAATAACACTAGCTCACTTGACCCCTACCCGTATTTTTGTATTTTTATCATGCGGTGGTTTGAATAAAATTATTATCATTATTACTTTTGTTTAACGAACTCGCAACTCGCGATTCTCAATCGAGAACCGATACTTGGTTTAGCCACGGCGACGTTGCGTAAGCCGTAAACACACACGCACTGAGCGACAATTTCGTGCCCACGCGTATGTATGTACCAAGTGTTACGTCACAAAACGCGCCTGGCGCATAAAAGGTATTATGTTTGCGAAAGGCTGCCGAAAATGAAGTTGGAGGAAAAAAAAAAAAAATAAAAGGTATTATGTTTGCGAAAGGCTGCCAAAAATGAAGTTGGAGGAAAAAAAAAAAAAAAAAAAAAGAGGGAGAAACAAAGCGAGCGTCGAATCGACTCGCTATACCGATTGCTTCCGGCTTGCGGGTACGTACAATAGGTAAATGCGTATATAGCTGTGGTGTAGGGACGAACCACGTGGGTTTCGTGGCTAATACTGCCCACCTTGAATTGCACAATCGGTATTTTTACGCGAATCGGTCGAAATGCCTTTGAAAAGGTTTTTGGACCATACGTACGTAAGTATAAAGTAACAAGTATGTACAGATATCATGTACTGCATTAATTTTGGTCGTACATCGTACATCAACATTTGTTAAAATGGCTAAAAGTACTTTTTCGTTTGCCATGTAAGTATATACGAAATTTTCGCCTTGCAAGTCGCAATCATATACGATCAGATATTGTTCAAACTGAATTTCTTGTTCAATATGATGTTGTAAAACCAAATTTATGGTATCTTTAGCTAAAAAAAAAAAAAAAAATTATTTCGAGGTATTGTTTTTGAGTTTACGTAGAAAAACAAATTAAAAATTTTCTACGTACATACGAGGATACTGCAGCGAAATGTTGACCTTTTTTGTTACCAAAGTCCTTGTTTTCCAGTTGTCAGTCGTATAGGATATGTTTACAGATGCGTTCTGGTTGTCGTATTAGCGTCCGACTGACAATTAAAAAACAAGGACTTGACAAGCAAAAAAAAAAGGAAATATGTTTCGCTGAAGTTTCATAATGCACGAATCGAAATGATCTTCTATCATGTCGTTTTTTCGTGATTTTATAATTATTTCCTTTTTTTTTGTCATTTTGAACGAAATAACGATGGAGAATGTTTTCATAGCTAATACACTCAAAAAAAATTATTGAAAAAAAGAAACAGATTCCAGCTCGTAAGATGCACTTTCATGCGCTCACAGTAGCGCCAATGAACCGCATACTCTTTCGCCGATTCTCCCAGATTACACGTTCATTTGATGAAGCGTACACGTATATATACGCGCTATAGGGGCGAAAACGTAAAGAAAATTCTCTTCCACGGTATCATGGCTGCTTACGATAGCAATAAAGTATCCTTCCACGGGCGAGAAAGAGAGAGTGAGAGAGGAATACCATTGGGGGTACACACATCGGTTTTCTTCACAGCGTCGCTCCTCTAAATCACCGGCGATCGGTAGCCAACGCAAGGGCTCTCACATTTTTCACATTTTTCGGCTCGCGAGGCATCGCTTACACGAGTTTTCAGGCTCTTAATTGATCCGATGGAACGTGTTTTATGAAAATGTGGCGAGGTATCGGCGAATTTCACTGGCGCGCGTATGCAGTTACGTCCGAATCAATAGAATCGCGACTGTGAATAAATAATACATGTGTGCGTTGCAGGTGAAATGGCGGTGCTGTATCTCTTCGCGAGGTATCGCTTCCAATGGAATGAAGTGCAGTTCAGCGTCTTCTCGACTTACTGCATGGTGACGAATCTCTTGGGTAAGTGCCACACCGGTTTCTATGCATCAAATGTCGCGGGCGCTCGTCTTTCCGTTCAAAATTTTTGCACCTGTCCGATCGCGATGTTGCGTAACTTTTTGCACCTTTATGTACATTATGTATATGTGTATATAACTCAAAGGTGTTTTTCTACATTGAAAAAAGGCTATTATTAATTCGATTAGTTTACAGCTGAGAGTGAAAAACAACAGCAGAATNACTTTTTACTATTTGAACAATAATTTTTACAATTTAGGATAGTAACTTTTGTTGTTAGTACAGTGATGATTTTTACTATTTTTACAATAGAAATTACTGTCTAGCAATGAAATGGTAAAAATTAAGTTGGCCAGCGTAAAAAGTTCCTAGATGGTGGAATGACACCAGATTACCATTCTAGCACAGTCCTTTTGTTTATTTTTTTTTTTTTTGTCAGTGTGTAAACGATGAAAAATGGGTAAGAACTAATGAAAAAAAGTACAAATCGTGTATGAAATATATATATATATGTATATATTTTTGTTTACGTACTTTTCAAATTACTTTTGCGTACATTTTAATTACCGATTTCTCGAGTCCACTGAGAAAAACGAAGCGGCGTTTTTAGTTTCCAAATGCACCGGAAAAATAAATGAAAAGTGTTCGGTATGAAGAAGGATATGGACTTTTAACGCCGTTACGTAAGAGATTATCGGTTTTTTTTTTCAACCAGGAACTAAAATCTTATCGATTACGGGTCGATTATTCAATGTTTCATTCCTCCGATTCATTATACCACTGATCGATCTTCTGTTACGCGATAATAGCTCACCCGGTAGTGGTACGGCGACTCTGTATAAACTTCACCACAGCGCTCAAACGTATTACAATTGTCGATCTACGTATATGGCCTTCTTAGCAAATGCTGATTGTTTCAAAAGATGCACATCGATGAAATCACGAGTGCCGTAAACTATTTTTTTTTTTTGTTTCTATTGTTTTTTTGTTCTTTCTAATATCCTTTTTTCTTGTAGTGGATACACAATGTCCGCGGTAGATGTTAGTATTGATATTAAAAAAAAAAAGTGTTGGGGTGTAGCGAGTGACCGAAGGATCTGATTTTAAGGGGAAATTCCTCAGGTACTCTCTTCGCGGTGGGCATCTTCAGCCACGTGTTGAAAATGGACGACGCCCTCCTCGGAGTACTCAGCTGTATAAGCAAAATCTTGGCAAGCTTCGTCTACGCCTTTGCTACCACGGATCTTTTAATGTATATTGGTAAGTATTTTTTTTTTTTTTTCCTTGTTACGTTGTGTTTATTTTTTTATTTTTTGTGCCGTAACTCAAAGAGTCATTAAGATCGCATTGTCAGACGTGTCTGACCGGATACCGTCGTTATCTACTGGCGATCTGATTTTTCTACCCGCGTGTACGATAAAAAAAAAAAAAAAACAACTTAGGGTTTTCACCCCAATTAAGGACGTTCGGTAGAGATAGAACCCTGTGATGAATCTTTTTGAAAATTTAACCAAACGTTCTTATTGTTGTTACAATGAAGCTGTTAAAATTTCAATAGGTTCGTCTGTTTCGTTTCCGAGATATTGAATTTCAAAGTTCAGTCATTTTAACACGGTCGCTTATGGGGAAACTTATAAAAACTCGGTTTAAAAAAAATTATTACCTTGGCCAACGAAATTGGCACGAAAAAGCCTTGTTCATCAATTTGACTTTTAAACGGCAAAGAAAGAAAAATAGATCGCCAGGATACTTTGGTACACGTATATAATTGAGCGATTCAAACGCACCCAAAAAATGATCTTTACGCCCATCACCTGTTGTTGACAGCACCACTGCTCGAGATACTGAACGGCGCGTCGTTCATCGTCATGCGCTCGATAACCTCGAAACTGGTGACACCCGACGAGCTCGGTAAGTTTAACCCCAACCTATACAGTTATTCCTATCATTTGAGCGACGAGTGATACACGAGGCCGTGGCCTTGATTGTCAACTCTCTTTTCATTCGGTGTTGGCCCCAACGACGCGCGGCCAGCTGATATCTCAGACTCCGATGTATTATGTCTACTTCGAGCCGGCACCGGATATATACGCGTAGACTTTGTTATGTATTTATATACGCACCCATCGAAGTATTTCAATAATATATACACGATCGACTTTGGTAATTTGGTACTCTCCATAAATTCGACTATATACTCGAGTTGTCGAGCGTATAGGTGTACGTCGTTTATCCTTTTGACGCCTTACCGGTCACGGCTGTATCTACTGTTGCGCGCAGTTTCCAGAGCACATGAAGAGTATATAATTATGAGGAAGAAAAAAAAGCAAGCACAAAAAAAATTTTTTCAGGCAAGGTGAACTCGCTGTTTGGAGTGTGCGAAGCCATAGTGCCGCTGCTGTACGGGCCGACCTACAGCTTCATCTACAGAGCTACGGTGCACAGTTTGCCCGGCACGTTTTTTCTCGTCGGCTCGGGCCTCATGATCCCCGGCGTCCTGGCCTTCCTGTAAGTCTTACACGACCTTTGTTTCATTTGTTCCATTTGTTTTTTCCATCTCTATAAATATATTTATAGACCTTACAATACATGTTGGCGGAATCAACGCTCGTTTCCAAGAGTTTTTACCGCGCTCGGTTCGACCTTTTGGTTTTACGGCGAATGTAATTTATATTTGCCCGGCTGTAATAGGTTTTTTTTTTTTTTTTTTTTTTTTACAACTGAAAGTTAATTATAAATCGAGAGATGGATCGGTAAAAACTAGGAAACGATGACATAACGCGCGCTATTCGCGGCAACAATGACAAACTAAACATGCACACCGCGACAATAATTTAATCGAGTTGTTTTGACAATTTTCGCACCTCCGACACCTGCACCAGCCTTGCGCTTTTTATTGCGCACTCGTGGCCGCTCCGGTGCATTTGTCCCGACCTTCTAGCTGCGTTGGCGCGACGATAAAATCTCCGTTTTCTTTTCAATTTTCCTCTCCTTGGGCGCCATCGAAATCACCGTCCTGCGTGTTGATAATTGCCTCGAGAAAGAAGGTAAAACATTACACGGAATCGTGAAAATTACAAAGTTTCGAAGCACGTGACAAAGCGTGTACGCCGTGCGAGTGTCTAGGTATATACGCATCGGAACGTGACGAGAATCGTAATAATGAGCGATTTATTGTGATTGGGCCTATCACAGATGTGAAGACGCGCGTCCGCCGTTGCCGTCACCGAGAAAGACGCGAAGAGCATAATCGCCGAGAAGAGCCTCGAATCGTCTTTTCGAAAATAGATCCTGTGCGCGGCGTCGTCCCGAAAATAAATGTGCGTATACCTGCGTCACTTGCATTCAAACGAAGGATACTATACTCTTTTATCGGGAGTGGAAAGTCATTGTGTAATCGGTGTCGACTCATTTGCATTTTCATCGTCGTGTTGTTGTACACCGAGATTTTCCGTGGATGACGGGAACCTCGTTTTCGAATTGCCAATGAAGTGAATTATTTAATACGCGCCTGATTAAGAATTTTTTTTAACAATTAATTAGACACGCGAAAACAGCGTGAAAAGTATTTTTACCTGCAGTACCGAGAAATTATTGATAAATTAAACAAGTTGTAGATCTTGAAGAAAAAAAATTTCGTGTCGTCCCGACGTTGCACTGAGAGAAAAAAATAATAAAAATTACTGTGCTAGAATGATAATCTGGTACTGTACGGTCGTCTAGAGACTTTTTACTATTTGAACAATAATTTTTACAATTTAGGATAGTAACTTTTGTTGTTAGTACAGTGATGATTTTTACTATTTTTACAATAGAAATTACTGTCTAGCAATGAAATGGTAAAAATTAAGTTGGCCAGCGTAAAAAGTTCCTAGATGGTGGAATGACACCAGATTACCATTCTAGCACAGTCCTTTTGTTTATTTTTTTTTTTTTTGTCAGTGTGTAAACGATGAAAAATGGGTAAGAACTAATGAAAAAAAGTACAAATCGTGTATGAACCGATCTGCTGATGATACCATCGATTGAGTGTGATCCATCCGAGAAAGAGTCGATAATCGTCACGATAAATCCGCAGGTGGCTGTATTTCGAGCACAAGAAGGACGACGCGTTGGATCGGGAGCAGCAGGCCATGGCGGCCAAACTGAAGGACAAGCTCGAGCAGGAGAGCAGGTTGGAAAACGGTCTAACGCCGAACAAAGCGAGGAACGCCCCAACGTCCGAGCAACCGGTCGCCGGTATCGTCAACGCGGCCTTTGAGTCCGAAAAACTGTGATCGACCCTCTTCACCTTTTACCCTTCCTTTTGCGAACTATGAGTTTTTGTAAAAGAATACCAAATAAGGGGGACCCTCCCCCCCCCAGCTCTTGCAATCGCGTGTAATTAAAGCTGGGGAGTGACCTGCGCGGTCAGGTGAGATTGTACGCGCGTTGTAAAGTGGGGAAGTGACCTTCTCCGTAACGACTTTGACTCAATGTTATCTGTTAAAAAGTGAGATGTCAAATTTTAATATACACATATTGCAAATCCCCATGGATTCGTGGGGTCGACCTGCTTTGAGAGTAGGATTTTGTTAATATATATACACATACAATATACCTACGTATTAAAAAGAAAAAGAAAAAATGCTATGCATTGAAGAAAAAAAAGAAAAAAAATTGTTGATTGACGTTAAAATGATACACAACAAGTGATAAATTATACATTATATGGATGCCTCTACCTATACACACATTTGGCAACGATAGGTGCACGTACGACTGTCCCTCCCCCCCCCCTTCGCACCCCTCACACCCCAAAAGTATGAAATAATTTTTACGGAACAATGTTTGTACATTGATATATTTCTTTTTTTTTTTTTTTTTTTTCTATAAGTGCAATAACAGAGTACGTATCACGTGGCACATAGTATTATGTTGTGAATGATGTTTAGGGACGTATCAAGTATTGAACAACTTCATGTCTGAAACTTGCGTTATGTATAGGAAATAATTTTACGAATGGTAGGATTAAATGGTGTAAACGGATACTAGATATCCTTCGAGCGATGATGATGGAGGACGATTCCGAATGTGAAAAATAATAGAGATATCAGATGATGTGCATTGAAAATATTTTATATTTAACGCGACGATTAGTTACAAAACCAAAATTTTGTCAAAAAGACTTTTATGTGTGCAACTCTTTGTGAATGAAAAAAAAAAATATAGTATTTTTATGCGGTAATCATTCAAACTACGAAAACTACAACGTACAGCATAATGTCACGCGTCGCAAGACCCAAAATTAATCCTCTTTACAGTTGTATTATTATTATTATTATTATTATCATTATTATTGTAAATAGACAAGTGTACTTAATTAAATTTATCGTACAAATTGAGATGTTCAATCGAGATGTCAACCACTACGCACTACTGAGTAGGCCTTACATTGTATATAAATATATAAAAAAAGGTTATTTTAAGATTTAACGCGTCAAAAGTGGCAGAATCGTGAACAATCGTGAGTATTATATACGTTTATATATACCTTCAAAGCCTTTTAAATAACATTATCTCACGAATGATTCGCAATTGTATGAATACGTGGACCGTATATAGTGCCCTTGGAGTGTTAACGATAACGATCTGAAAGCTATCTTGCCGAGAAGGCCTAATTTGTGGAAAAATAATAAAATATTTTTGAAATCAGTCACGTCTAGCTCGTATATTCGCAGTACCCACTCTCTCCGTGGTCAGTAAAATAAAAATCGAGATTTTCCCGAGGGGAAAAAAAAAAAAAAAAAACACAATCGTGCTTTCATCGAACAATGTTCACATGATCAAAACAAAACGGTCCTACCGCAGTCACTGCAAGCTCTTCCACCGGACGTGCGTCTAGGAATCCCAGCAGCGTCGCCAACGCAAGAAAAGTCCAAGAAAGAAAGAAAGAAAAAGCTGGGCGATCGACGCGACCCGGTCGATAATGCAGACCGGCTGGACCGGCATCAACGAGGCGGAGGAGGAGGAGGAGGAAGAGTCATCATGTGGGAACAGCTGCCGGAGTTGATCCTCATCCAAATCTTTGGCTACCTGGAGCGCCGGGACAGGGTGAGCGTGGCCCGGGTCTGCCCCCACTGGGCTCGCTGTCTCGCCTCACCCTGTCTCTGGCGACGCTGCAAAGTCAACATCGATCGGGACCTCGGCTTTGGCGACCTTCTCGCCGTTGAGCTTGCGGTTGGTTCCATATGTTATTCTCGTTCATCTAGATACGGCGAACCAACCCACAAAGTTTGTTGGGATTCGTCGCGAACACGTTGGTAATCAAAGGTTATGTCAGCACGTGTAAATGAGTGCGAATTTTTTCATCCACCAGATAAATTATGGGAAACACATGCGCAGCCTCGAGCTCGCCTGGTCGCGACCTTACAACGGCAGCTCGTGCAATCAAGAGAGGCGAGTATCCCGCTGCTGCGAGCAGGTGGACGCCGGCTCGGACTTTGTTGGCCTCGTGCTGGCTCAGGGGGTACAGCTCACGGAGATCGTACTTACCGACTGGGCATACGGACGCAAGTGGGGCAACTGCGCCCAGCTGCTCTTCCAACTGGCGAATCTGCTGGCGTGAGTGTACAAACGACCTAGTAGAGATAAATAAATTTAAAAAAAACCTGTTTATTCGTTCCCAGGGGCCAACAGAATCTGAAAACCTTGAGCCTGATCAATGCGAACCTTAGCCTGGCGGACGCCTTAAGGTTGCTCGCTGTCGTAGCAAAGGTGAGCGGAGCTCGGCTCGAGTCGTTAGACCTACAGGGCGCCTTCAAGGAGTGGCTGACCCCGTACAGCAGCTCGAGGTCGGTAATGCAGGGCACCTCTGTTCTAATTAATTGTTTGACAATGTCACTATCGTTAACTCGAGGATGGCGGGGTCAGGTACTTGAAGCTGCTCGGGCGCCTGGAAAACCTTTCGCACCTGAGTTTGGATTACCCGGCGTTGTCGGACGCCGCACTGGGTGCCCTGGCACGCGGGGCGGCGAAAAACCTGCTCACCCTGCACGTGTTCGTGCGAGACTCCGACTCGAGGCAGCACCGTATCGGCAACTCGGCATGGCACGCCCTCGTCGACGCTTGTCCCCACCTCGCCGTCTCCTACACCATCAGTGAGGCCCGTTGTGTGCTCCATCAAAAATATCAATCCTCAATCAATGCCAAATTACATCGTTGATTCTACGTTGATTCCATGTTGAATAAATGCCGATTTAAAGTTGAATCAACGTTCATTTATCATCAACTTGACTAAATTGAAGTTATAAGCTTTAAAAGCATTTATTTGAATTGCAACTGCAATGCTAACACGAAAAAAAGCATTATTTTAAAGTAAATTACCGTTATCGACTTGTAATTAATGCTAAATCAACATGGGATCAACGCAGAATCAACTATGTAATCAACGAGTGATTTTAGCATTGATATTTTTGGCACAGGGTACCCTATAATATATTAGTCTTCTTTTGGAAATTGGAATAATGGTTGTATCTCAGTCAATATACCGCATCACGAGGACATGAGCTACCTGCTGCTGCCTAGCGTGCCGCTCGCCAAATTCCAGATGTACGGAGGCCACGTCTGGGACCAGAGCCGATCGCGCAATTTTCGCGCCACCGTCGGGCTTCTGATCAATCAGTACACCGAGACTCTGGGTAACACTTGAAGCGTACGATTGAGCAAAACGTTGCAATGAATGGCACCTCCAACGCGCGTTTGACGTTACAGCCGAGGTAATGCTTCAGTTGAGGAACAATCGGGAGATGCTGGACGACCTGATAGTGTCCCTCCTGACGCGCTGTAAGCACCTCAAGCACGTGCAGTACGACGGAATCGTACGGAACCTCGAGACGATTCGTGACATTTGCCAACTGCAAGCGGATCGAAAGACGCGTGAGCGAGTCGTTACGAATATGGTTTTTCTTTTTCATCGAACGGATTGACACGTGAAATCGCCTTTCCAGGTTTCCAGTCGATCCACGTCAAGCCGAAAAACGTCAGCTTGAGAAACCGGGCGCTCCTGCAGAGCATCGATCATCAGTTCGGTCGAAAGATGCACGACGGAGGAATCGAGTTGCGCATCGAAAATTCCCTCTAAGACGGCCCATCTTTTACTTTGGACACGGGAAATGAATCGCCGCACGCTTTTGTCGTTTTAGTGTGTCTTTATTTGGTATTTTTTGTGTATACATTTTTTTTTTTTTTTTTTTTTTTTTTTTTTTTTTTTTTTTTTTTTTTTTTTTTTTTTTTGATACATTAATATTAATAAACAACATATATTATGTCTACATTCTTATACTTTCAATCACGACGGCTCATCAGTTCATACTTTTTCGCTTGATAAACGTAAAAAAAAAATGGAGGAACGTTTGAAGTTTGATTTTAGTCTCAACTGCGAAGGAAGTTAGTTCATACGATTTTGTGCATTTACTGATTCCTAAAAAAAGAAGAAACGTGTGTGTACTTATTTGTGTATCATCGAAAATATCAATATAAAAATTATCTCGCAATTTAAAATTGATTTATAAAAGGCATTCCATTTCGTGCTTGTCGTAAGCTTTTATTTGTCAACACTGATTCGAGTATTATACGCTTATATAATCTAATGGGCACTTGTAAGCGGACGATTATCTGACGATACAATATAGACACTTGAAAAACTTCTATGTTTTTTTATGCTTAAAATTTAACTACGAATCGTTACACATTTAAAAAAAAAAATTTTATTTTTTAAGTGCACATTGAATAATTTCAAGGCTTTATTTGTATATTTAATGCACTTATAATGACAGGCAATGTAATCAAGGCATCCTAGTGCTTTACTTTTAACACAAAAATACGTTAGTACTTTTATTACATCGATCTGGTAGGGTTAGTTGATTATTATTATTTTATTTTTTTCATGATTATATATTCAAGTATTGTTCAGTTTTATTGTACTGTTTAACTTTCATGTTTGCTTAGCACTTTCTTTATGAAATATAACTAGACATTGTTGAACATGGTTGCATATAATAACAGGTCATAAAAAAAAAAAATAAAAAAAAAAATTATGATAATAGTCGCCACTATGCTTGAATATTTTTCTTACAGTAAAATAGTGTAAACCAAAAAATGTATCTCATAAAAATAATACTGTTTTTTGACAAGAAAATTTTTTCAGTTTGCTTATTTGATTAAAATCTTTGGCTCATAATAGTTAACCTACGGTTTCATACGTATTTTCATCGACTTACTAGACTAAGTTAAATGCTTTGGAATAGTCTATAAGTATATGTATCTTATTCTTAAATATAATTGATATTGGGTACAATATGTATGTTTAAACAATCAATGATACGTTTAATTTTGATAAATAGTTGCTTAAACCATCTAATTATTGCATCTACTTTGATATAATGTCATGATGTGTCGAAGGTTTTGATTTTATATGTATTATACTTTCACGGAATATTACTACGCTATCAGACTAGATACTAGATATACTTGGTATTCTTCACTTTCATTCGTCATTGACTTTTTACGGAATAGAAACTACAGCTACCTACGTCTCTTAATAATTATTTGAAAAATTGAAGCTAAAAAAATTACCTTTTCCTAAATACTTTATGCGTTTACATGTTTAAAATTGACATTTATAAATAGAAAGTAAGAAAAAAAAAAAAAAAAACATCTCGAACGGCATCGCTTGCGCGCGTATATCGCAAAACCGTACAACGACCTCGCCCAGGTATACACGCGTAACAAAACAAAGGGGGAGGGGGTGAGTCGTGTACGTCCACAAACCGTGTGCGCAATGGCAAGGTCGCGGGCGAGTCGTGACGCAACCGCGAGCCGTGAATCGGCTCTTGTATAAATGCACCATCCTTCCGCTTTCTTCTCCCGGAGCATCACCTACACATACGTATACTTTATTTACGCCGTACAAACGCCTATATCTCGAGCTTCGATCTATCGCGCACCGATGATACTATTGCGGTGGTGGTGGTGGTCAAAGGGTCAGCGCCCCCCAACCCGTAGAATGTCCTCCCTAATGGGACCTCGTTCTCTCGGTGTATTTCCTCTAACGACGAGAAACGTTGCGGGGCTTTCTTCTGCATACAGCTTACGTATATCTATTGAGTGCACATCGCGAATTGTTCGTTTTGTTGCGCAACTCGACGACATTCGGGCTGTTGATGGGATGCTTTACGAGAATTTTTTTTCATTATTTTTTTTTTTATAATATATTTTTGCCTGCCAAGTACACACACATTGCACATTGCAGGTACACCGTTTATACATGTACATACGAGAAGTCGTTGCCGTGTAATAATATGTATAGGTGTTCGCCATCACCGCACGGTTCATAAATCGCGTGAGACGCGCCGTTTTTAACTGTAACGCCGCTTTGCTTCTATACACATGCGTATATATATATACGATGTCTCGTACGTATAGGTACATTTTATTTATGATGACGGTGGGAAGCCTCCGAATCTGTTTGTGCGCAGTATGTGTACGGTTTTATTCCCTTCTTTAGTTGCTCCCCACCTGTGACGTTTACCCGCACGCGCGCCTCGAAGAAAATTATGATGACTAATCCCGTGGCAACGGGTATACAATGTACTCCCGCGAAGGTGTACAATACAAACGATGAAGGGCACATCACGTAGGTTGTGAGCGAAATTTTTTTTTTTTACAATTTTCATACGTNAAAAAAAAAAAAAAAAACTATTGCCTACTACCACCCCGAATGAACAAACAAAAGCATGATTGTACGGTTTTCGCAACGTGGCCCAACATCACGTAGTATATAATAATTATTATGTTGTCGGACGTATGGCCCGAAATTAGTAATGGTAAGATTTGGTGGGATTGCAGATCTTGACGTGGTTTTTGAGGAGAAACCTGGTGACGAAGCCGCGCTTGCAGAATTGACAAACGTAGGGTCGCTCGCCGCTGTGGTAACGCTTGTGCACGACCAAGGTCGACCTCTGGGTGAACGCCTTGTCGCAGATCTCGCAAACGTAGCGGCGCTCGCCGGTGTGGGTGACGCTGTGGGTGCGCAGGAGGGCCTCGCAGGAAAACTTTTTGTCGCACTCCTTGCACGAGTAGGGCTTCTCGCCGGTGTGGAGCCGCGTGTGGATCTGAAAGCCCTTGATCGTCTTGAGCTCCTTGCCGCAGTCGGCGCACAGGTAGGTCTGGGCGGCGCGCGGGGCACGGCTTTTCGGGGGCCGGCCCCGTTTCTTCGGGATCGGCTCGCCCCGCGATATGTACTCAAAGTCGCGCAGGAAACTCGTCACCTCGTAGTACTGCTGCTCCTCCTGCTGTGGGCAAAATCATCGTCACATCATTTCGTTGCTATTTTATTTCAATCACAAGCATACATATACATATATAAGTATATTCAAAGTGCTCTCGAGGTATTATTTTGTGCTCACGGTGGCAATTTTTCGATTTTAAAAAAAACTAGGGTACTTGGAACTTTTTTTTTATTCAATTTGTATGAATATACGTGCAGATACATTGGAAAAGTTTCCGATCAATAAACTGCGTTTTTACACTACGACGTTGCAATGGATAACGGATAACAACAATCAATGTTATTGATCGGCGTGGAATTGTTTTCACGTGAATTTTATTTAAAATAACATTTCTTCGATCGGCGTACCCGTAAGTTTCGTGTGTCTTCTCTTGTGACGATAATAATATTGCCAGTTTTTGCGCAACGGTAAACAGTGCGATAATCAATGCGAACCTCGGACGTATCACGCGAAGCGCCAAAAATATACGGGTATATACTTTTATCTGGAACGAGAATGCCATTTTCGTTTCGGAGGCATCGTGTAAAAACACGAGGGTGAAAATACGGTTTATTTATTCACCGACCAACGTTCCTCGATTGTATCGCTAATCAATACTCGCGTACGTATAACTGTACCTTTGTACAATACATGATCAACAATACGTAAATTACACTTTTGCACGTAGCGCAACAACGCGTGACTCTTACTCGCGCTCGATGAGTCATTTGAAATATTATCATCGTCAACTGCTGCACGTGTATATGAATATGTGTGTGCTTTTCGCGTGTATAGATAGTATAACCTTTACTCGTAGCAAGATTGCCGATATTGCCCCCGCGGGAGCAACAATTTAAAAAGCTACGGCCAGTCGCGAAAAATCACTGCGGAGAACGCGCCGGTGGTGCAACAGCAGATGAGTTGTACGACGTTCGAAATTCGGTAGACGATCGCTCATTGAAAAATATATACAAGTAAAGTACTCGCCTATGTTCACACCTGTTAATCGACCTTTGCTCGGTTTATTGTTTTTTTTTTAAGGTTTCGGTATGGAGTAGAGTAGGCACAAATTTCCCGTGAAAATGTAACAAGGCATAAATCTTTCGAAATTCAAGTTCAATCGACATCAACGCAACAGTATCGAAAAAAATAATCACGAGGATGCCAGCGGCGGTATGGGACTGGTGCAACTCGGTGAGTATATAAACAAACCGAGCCATTGGTTATGTACACGGATGGACGTGCAATAATATCGCAATGTCTCTCGTGTCGCAGTTGCAGAGGTCGGTGCAGGACCTCTTCAAGAACAAGGAGGGCCTGCACGACACGCCCTACCTGTCGGCGATCCAGGCGCTGAAGGGCAAAACCCCGGGGAGCAAGCGCGCCGAGCTGAACGCGCTGCTGCTAGCCACCATCACCGACATTCGGGAGAAAAACGGGGTCGCCCTAGAGCACGAGTACCGCGACGTCCCCGCGGGCTTGGTGCCACTGGCGCGCGCGGTGATAGGCAACGCCCTCGGGAACAAGGACCTCGTCATCGAGAGCCTCGAGTCGGAGGACCCCGCGGTGAACAAGGTAGCCCTGGCCGCGCGCTGGTTCTTCGACGGCGCCAACAGCTACGTCAGTGCCCAGTACTTCACTTACAAATTCCTGCCACGGGTGTCGCTGCGCACGCGCCGAGCCATCGCCAGGAACCTGGCGCGCTCGCTCCTCGGCCACGAGCTCAAGGCCGAGCAGTTCTTCGAGGCCATCGCCGACGCCTACGGCTACAAACTCGCCGTGCCCCTGCTCGTCGCGTGCTCGCCCGGCTTCGTCTACGACAAGATACTCGAGCACAAGATCATCCTGACCGTCGGCATGCTCGACAAGCTGTACGATAGGCAGCCCTCGGTGGCTTTGAGGTACCTGCAATTGGCCAACCCGAAAAACGAGGAGAACGCAAGGGACCGGAAAATCATAGACGTCAGGGTGTTCACCTACGACTCGTTCGTTCCGAAACTCGTGAAAAAGCATCCCCGGGTGTTCCAACAGTTGTACGAGCTGACTCCGGATAGGGCCCTAGTGCTTTCCAAAACGAGGGCTGGGCACTTTTTGAGGAGCCTCAAGGACGTGCTGGTGGAAAAGCCCCGCGTTTACCTCAAGCTGCTGCCCCTGGAGCTGGTCAGCAAGACCCTCGACAGAGAGCAGTTTGAGCGGATGTTCGAGAACCTGTTCGACACCGACAGGGAGGCCTTCGACCTGGAGGAGATGCTCGACTACCTGGACCACTACGAGCACGGCGACAGAGTCAAGTTGATCGTGGAAAAGTACAGGGAGGTCTACAAGGCGGAATTCCCGATCGACAAGTGGTTCTGCACGACCCAGAAGACCAAGTTTGCGGAGCTGCTGTCGGCCGAGGAGAGGGAGGCCCTGGCCGAGCGCAATATGCAGACGCACAGGGACTTCCCGGAGATGGTCAAGGTTATAAGATCGTACCTGCCCCCTGGGAAACTGCTGCCAGGGCTCAAGAGCGAGATACGCGAGCTGAGTAACCCAGCCGACAGGGAGGCCGTGTTTGTGTCCATGGTGGTCTCGTGCAAGGTGTACCGAAGCCCGGACCACCTGCTGGAGGTGCTCAATTATTACCACAACACGCACAAGAACGAGAGAATGTCGACCCTGGGCGCGATATTCCAGGCCCTGCAGTTCCACTGGGCGACCACGGTCCAGCTCCTCGATGACCGCCACTGGGGCACGATCATGAGAATTATCGGGCACGTCCACGCCAAGGGCGAGCTGTTTTCGACCCAGCTCGGCGCGACCGAGTGGATCCTCGAGAACGCGGCCCGGTACTACCTGAGCCTCGGCGACGAGAGCAGTTGCCCGAAGGAGACTATCGCCCTTTTGCTCGCGATCAAGGTCGAGCACTGCTTCCCGAACTGGAACGTCGTCGATGGTGGCGGACGCGAGCTCGAGAGACGTGGCATGGAGCTGATGTTCAGCGCGGCCTCGATCAAGTACCCGGAATCCCACGAGGTCTGGAAGGACTCGAACCGCCAAGTGTCCGTGGCTCTGGAGGTCCTAAAATCCATCGACGCCTACAACAAACGACACTACCCGCTGACCAAGAGGACGATGAGGCGGAAAAGCGCGGAAGAGCGTCGAGAGCTCGAGAAGGGCAAGTGGAGGATCGAGTTAGTCCCGTGGCTAGAGTCCACGGTGGTCAAACTCCTCTCGGACGCGAGTGCGCGCCAGTCCTACCGAAAGCGCGTGCTCCGCGAGCTCGTGGAGAAGAGCTTCCCGGAGTTTTACGCGTCGAGGATCAGCGACCCGGACGAGGTGCAGGACATCGAGTCCGGCAGAGCCATGGCTCTCTTGAGGCACGATCCGAGGCGGATCCTTCTCAATTGGGAGGCCTACCTGCAGCAGGCGGTTGACAAATTGTCGATGAGCAAGGGTAGCAGAGCGGCGAGGCGCTTCATCGCGGCCACCAAGTGGCACAGCGAAATACCCGTGAGGTTCGTCGAGCGCAGCGTAGCCCGGATCAAGGACAGAGGCTACGTGATCGTGCTCGGGATCCTCCTGGAGGGCGACTCGCTCGGCAAGATCTTGCTCACGACCCTGGACAACGTCGACGAGGTGCTGAAGGTCGACGCGAGCGAGGAGGGGGCTCGCGACAAGTTTGCCCACACCAAGGACATTCTTCAAGCCCTGAAGCTCGCCAATCCGCCCATCTTGCTCGGCTTCCTGCTGCGCTTCGTCAACTCGGAGTTCATCCAGCACGCCGAGTCTACCCTGACCTCCTTGGCGCAACGCGTCTCCGCCGAACGTATGTCAAACTTTTCGCGTCGGCTGACCGAGAGCCCCAAGATATCCGCCAAGAAGCTGGGCATCCGGCTGTACAAGCTGACCGCCCCCCTGGACGAGTACTTTAAGTTCCTCAAGCAGCAGTACGAGGGAGAGACGAACCCGGGACTGCGCTTCGTCGTGACTAAGATGATCCTGCGCGTCTTCGAGGAGGCCCCGAACCAGAGGAGCTGGGAACTCGCGAGGAACGCCATGCGCCAGAGCACGGCCAACAACTTGGTGGCGCTGTCGAGCCTCTTCGACAACCTCGGCGCCGTGCACAGGCTCTACCTGTCCGACTACGTGGCCGAGTACCTGGATACGGTCGAGGTGCTCGCGGCCAAGGGTCTACCCCTTGGCGCCAAAAACAACATCGTCAGCTCGCTCATCGAGAGCTTGGACGCCAAGCGCACGACCTTTCTCTCCGAGGAGGTCGTCACGCGCGTGTTGACCGGATACTTCTTCAATCCCGGGACACCCGACGTCAACCGCGTGGCCCAGAGATTCGCCGTGGCCCACTACCTCCTGCCGGCCAAGGAAAACGCGTTCCCGAAGAGGCTCCAAGTCGTTGCCGGCTTGGTCAAGCTCATCCTGGACCAGTATGGCCAGCCGGACCCTGACAAGCCCGGCTACTACCCAGCCGACGAGAGCGTCCACAAGTTCTTCGTCTCCCTGGTGCTGGAGCTCGAGTACGGGCAGTCACCATTCAGGAATCGGCAGGTGGTCGACAGCTTCCTGAAGCTGTTGCAGGCGTCCTTGAAGGACCACCAGGCGCTGCCCTCGAGGATCCGGCTGAGCCTCTACAGGGAGTACATGCTCTCGCGCAAGATGTCCGCGGAGGACTTTGGCAGCCGGTGCGTCGCCTGCGCCCGGCACTTTGTCGACAAGTACTCGAACGTCGTCACCCACGACGTCGCCAGGTCGCTGAAGGAGATCATCGGCGAGCAGCGCAAGGCCCCGAGTTACCAGCTCGGTGTGGTCGAGGGACTGACGCGCAGCGGAGATCGCGTCGGCAGCCTCTTGGCTGTGCTATTACTCGGTTCCCTGAGCGTTGACGCCGACGCTGACAACTACGAGGCGGTGATAGCGCTTCTGCGCGGTGTAAAAGACGACGCGGTGCAGGCGTACTTGGACATGTTGCTGAGCGGGGCCGGCGAGACTTGGCTCTGAGCATGTGTGTACATTATACTCGATCGATCGTCCCGGGGTCGTGCGAACGTCAATTGTATATGATTCCCGAAAGTGTATTATTTACCCATGTATGTACAGGAAGAGGGAAAATGTAATAGGAATTATGTAATAAAATGCTTTTTTTTTTGTTTTTTGATGAATCCAACACGTCGTTGTTCCTTACCTGGCGATAAGTGGCGTTGCTGTTGGCAGCGGCAATGCCGGGCAGCTCGTGGCCGTGCACCTTGCGAATGTGCCGCTCGAGCTTGATCCTGTCGCGAGTCGAGTACTGGCAGTGGGCGCAGGTTATCACGGGGGTGGGCCCGTGCTGTCGGCGCACGTGGGCGTTGAGCATGAAACGCTGGGGGTACGCCTTGTCGCACTGCTCGCACTTGAAGGGCCGATCGATGCCGTGGGCGGCGAACAAGTGCTCGACCAGGTGTTTCACGTAGGCGAAGCTCTGGCCGCACATGCGGCACATGCGATCCGGGTCGTCGAAGCTGCGTTCATTGGTATAAATATGTACATGTGTACGTGTCATGTGTGTAGGGCGACGAGGTAAACGTGGATATACGGATGGAAGAGTTGTATGTATACGACGTGTAATTTTATTTATTTACCTTGGCTGAAAGGAATCGATGATTTCTTGCTTGATTTTATTGAATTCGTCGTTGTCTAACATCATTAGTGGATCTTCATCCGCTTTGCTGGAATTTGAAATCATTTCGTTTAATATCATCGTTTTGGCATCTAGCCGCAAGCATCACACATTTTATCAAAACACCAGCTGCAAAGCTAAGATATATTACGTTTGCAATTGTCTACTTTAGAAGCATATTTACGACTACGATACTGTGGCAACTGGATTATTAATTACTACGAGCAAGCATCGTCTTGGAAATTCAGTCATCTCTACTATGAAGCCTTTCAATAACATTTTATAGCTCCTGCATTGTAAAGAAAAAAAAAAAATTATTCTCAGGATCCGGCAGAAGTGAAACTTCAAAACGGTCTCTTACCGAGTTTTATGACAAAAGAAATTGAATACTTAAAAACGTACGGGTGTAAAGATTTTTATGTTAAACAATTTATTCCACAAACTTAATCGTACTGAACAACTAAATAAGTTTTTTATTCTTTCAAAAAACTTTGACGGAATTTTTCTAAGGTACAAAAAATTTGACGCTATTTATTTTGTTTTGTCCAACACCTTTCTATTATATGTGTGCCTGGATAATTCAACATTTTCTAATATTTTGTACATGTTTATTGTAATAATTATCGCTTCGATTCGACAAAGATCCATTTAGAACCCTATATTCCCCCATTTGGGATGTATATGTCTCAGTCGGGGAATGGTACACATGCCAGACTGGCTGCAGAGCTAAAGAAGTGGGGTAGCTCATACTGTATGTTGTGCATGATGTATGTTATATTTACATCCCGATGTCGTAAACGGAGATGGGCTCCAAATATAAGAGAATTATTGTACACCTCCCCGTATACGGCGCGCCTAAAGAAGTCAAACTTGAAAGAATGAACGAGATCTCGCCTAAAGAACAACGAGGGCGACGGCGACGACGGTCCCGTGATCTCGGGCCCTTGGACCACGGCAGCAGGAGGAGGTCTGCGTCGTCGCCTGGGCTACCTCTCGACGCTCGTCTGGTGGGTCCTCTTGACGTGCTTCCTGAGAACCGAGGCCGCGACGTACGACTTTGCGCACTGGGTGCACTTGTGGGCCTTGTCCGCGGCGTGCAGGGCCTTCACGTGGTGCACCAAACTCGTCCTCTGGGTGAAACCTTTGCCGCACACCGAACACCCGTACGGCCGCTCCCCGGTGTGGATCCTCAGGTGGACCCTCAGGTTGTCCAGCTTGGCGAAGCTTTTGCCGCACACGTCGCACTCGGCCGCCTTCTCGCCCCTGTGGGCCCGCCCGTGCTGGGCGAGGGCCTTGCGCGACGACAGCTGCACCCCGCACAGGTCGCAGAGGAGCTTGCTGTCGGCCGCGGCGTGACACCTGGCCGCGTGTCTCCGGAGACTGGGCTCGTCGGGCAACAGCCTCGAGCAGCGCCCGCACCCAACGACCGCCGCGCCACACGTCTCCGCGTGGCGGAGCCTCAGGTGAGCCACGAGGTTCCTCTTGTAGCCGAACGTCTTGCCGCAGAGGCCGCACTCGTGAGCGGCGGCGCCTCGGTGCAGGGCCCGGTGCTCCTCGTACTTGGTGCGCTGCATGAAGCCCTTGTCGCAGACGTCGCACCGGTGGGCGTAGTTCCTGGCGTGCCGGCGCAAGTGGACGTCGAGGTTGGACTTTTGGTAGCAGGTGTAGTCGCAGAGGTCGCAGGCGTAGCACTGGCCCGAGCGGAGGTGGAGGGTGCGGCGGTGGCGGGCGAAGCTCAGGGGGTTGCGGAACGACACGGCGCAGAGGTCGCACTCGAAGGGCCGCTCGATGCCGTGGACGGTGCCGAGGTGCTCGGCGAGTTTGCTCATGCTGCCGAAGCTCTGCGGGCAGGCGCTGCAACGGTGCGGCTGGCCCCCACGGCCCCGGGGGGCGATGCTGTAGTAGGAGGACGGCGCTGCCCTGTAACGAGCAATAGGGTTCAATGAGACTTTTTTTTTTTTTTTTTTTTTTTTTTTTTCATTCGTTTCCTCGAGTTTTGTGCGATTACAGCCTACGACATCGAGATACACATCTAGGGGAGGTGTGGGGGTTATTTCGGTAGGAGCTCGGGGGGATGGTGGGTAATATAGAAGTGTACGGGTGATACACTTACAGCCACATCTACGAAATGGTTGATGGAATGCAAAAAAGAGACGTGCTTGGGCGCATACACGTTTTTGCGCAAAAAAAGCAACGGGTGTATATCACATACTGTTTCTTACCTGAGTGCGATGTGAATTATTCATTTTTCTCGGTGCTTCTTGAAATCGAGATGTCTTCATGGGAGCGGCGTGAAAATCTTATACGAATTCAAAGTCGATGCAACAAAAGCAAATGATGAGATTTAAATAGTGAAAAAAAAAAAAAAAAAAAAAAAAAAAAAAAAAAAAAAAAGAAAAAGAATACGAATGACAATAAAGCTATGCAAGTGATGATAAATCGGCAACGAAGCAAAGAAAATTACGTTCTATGGCAACTATGTAGCAGCAATGAGCATTTCATTCAAACTAATAAATATCACATGTCTATACTTACCTATACTTGTGAAAACAACCTGTGAACAATTAACGGTACAATTTTCATACTTACTATTTGATGGTTGTTGTGGATACAGGCAATTTATATCATTTATATTGAAATAAAAGATACTTTATTGTGTTGCAAGTTTTTTTAATTTTTAATCAAAATATAAATTTAAATGATCCTCGTTTCAATGCATCTTTACACAGCATATAATATATTAGGTACATCCACGCTCGTAACAAAAACACCGATTCCAATGTGTTTGGTCTCTGTGAACGTGCATTGAAAAAGAAAAATTAATAAAAAATGAAATACTGTGGCTCTTCGATCGTTAGCCATGTATTCTTCTGGTGCTTAGTGATATATTTATTATTTACATCACGTTTGTAACTCAACAATGTTCGCCTGACCTTTCGTACAATCTTGGTTCATTGTATTCCTGAGGGTCAAATCGAAATTACACTTAATCGTAGAAAAAGAAAAGAAAAATCAAACAAACGGATCCTAGAGTACTCTACTCGTCGACGACGACACGCTTCTTCGACTTGTCAATCAGATCGGCGATGAAGTAATCGATCGAGATAACCGGGAGCGGTGGTAAGGGTCCGGGGTGCTTGGATTTCCTGTGCGTGATCAATCCAGGCTTCTGAGTGAACGCCTTGCCACATATATCACAGACGTAGGGTCGCTGTCCCGTGTGAATGAGCAAGTGCTGCTTGTGGGTGTTTTGCCGCCTAAACGTCTTTCCGCAAATCTTGCACTGAAATGGTCTGACCCCCGTGTGTATCCGCATGTGCTTTTTCAAGGCATCGTTGCCGCTAAAAGTCTTGCCACAAATCTGGCATACGGCCCGCTCCTTCCTCAGGTGCAGCTGGGCGTGCTGTTCGAGGGACTCCTTGGTAGCCAGGCGTCTCTTGCACTTGTCGCACGAGTAGGGCCTCTGGTTGTGCGCGTGGGCCATGTGTTTCTTCAGGGCGAAGGGGTTGCGGTAGGTCTGTCCGCACACGTCGCAGACGGCCTCGTGGTCCTCCCCGTGGATGCTCTGGACGTGCATGTACATGTCGCTCTTCATCTTGAACTTTTTGCCGCAGGCCTCGCAGGCGAACCGGTAGCCCTCGGTGTGCTTGCGGATCACGTGCTCCCTGAGCGACTGTCGCAACTTGAAAACTCTGTCGCACTTCTCGCAGGTGTACTTGTTCGGCAGTATGCCGTGCACCTCGGCCACGTGGGCACGGAGTAGCTTGCGCTGTTTGTAGCTTTGGCCGCAGTGCAGGCAGTCAAAGTTGCTTCTATTGTTGAAGTAGCCGTCGTCGAGCTCGTCATCCTCGTCGTCGTCGTCGATCGTCTTTAGCTTTTCCGGGGACACCTCGGGCTCCCGACACTGACGCTTGCGTGGTGGTGGTGCCTCGTTGGATTCTCTGCGGTTGTTGGAACGGCGCGTCCTCGTCCTCGGGGTCTGGGTTTCTGGAGAGCCGAGCTGCTGTAGTCTCTTGGCGGCGCGGGTTCGCACAGTCGTCTTGAGCCTGAAAAGAAAAGCCAAAACGGGTGGTTAGTCGGGCTGACAAGTGGTCTTTTATCGAAGGGAGAGAGCGATCGTGTAGAAGCTTGAGATACTGACTTTTCGCCGTTCACGGAGATATCGAGTGAGTGCTTTGTTTTCGAGACAAAGATAAGAAATAAGCGACACAGCAAGTTATCAAAAATAACCCTTATATTTAGAATCATCTCTTTACATGAAATGCCATTGTACATCCAGTTAACATGTTTGATCGGTACATAACGTTGAAAGATAAATATGAACAACATGATAGCGCTATAGAGTCCCACCTGATAAACCTCACGTGACTATCTCATGTCAAAAACTTAACTGGGATCTCCGCTGAGATTTATTGAAAAATATTTATGCTAAAAAAGAAAAATTAAAAATTGATTTTACGGTATTCAAAGTTGTCCCGTTGGTGTTACAATTAGGACAGGACATCGAAAAACACATGTATAAAGGTGTTTTATGTATAATTTTTAAAAATGAAATAAACTTGTTTAATTCTTAGGTGCTTTTTCAGATGAGATAGTCACCTGAGATCTCAGGTGAGATTTATCAGGTGGGGTGAGAAAAAAAAAAAATGATTGATTTTTCTTTTTTTTGGTAAAATACTTTACATGATAGGAGAAAAAGGACTGGGGAACAGTTGCGTTGGATTAAAAATAACTTACAACTAATTATCAAGTTACGCTTCACAATGTAAATAAGTCGAATGTAATGTACTAACTTTGTTGACAAGTTTTTAAAACTCTGATTTCGCTCATTGGTATAAAAAAGCATCAAGTTAAGTTTCTGTCAAAAGTTCATGTTTTTCTGAAATAACTATTGTTAACCAATTACGTAGTAGTTACAAAAAATGGATTTTGGAAATGCAACGTACTTTAGTGAAAGTAAAAAAAAACCATTAAAAAAAGTTACAACTAAGAAAAACTAAAAAATTCATAGGGACAATCCTGCCAGCAAACAACTAGTGCTGTAACGTAATGACTAAACTGTACACTGTACATTTCCAGCATCGCCGTTATTCTATGACCTTCGTCTCAATGATTTCCTCGTACTCATCCATGTCCTCCTCCACAAACTCCAACTCGATCTCCTCCTCCTCTTCTTCTTCGTCTTCCTCCTCCTCTTCCTCGTCATCATCCTCGGCCTCGGCGTCTAGATCGTCTAGAGCTTCCTTGATCGCGATGGTCTCGTCCGACTTTTTCTGGCCCTTGCTGGCTAGATACTCCTCGGTAAACTGCTTGACGAGGTCGCCGATCGGCATGACCGGAAGGGGCGGGTGATTGCCAGGGTGTGTCTTTCTATGACAAATCAAGCCTGGTTTCTGGGCAAAAGCCTTGCCGCATATATCGCAGGCGAACGGCCTTTTTCCCGTGTGTATGAGCAAATGCTGCCTGAGTTGAGACCTACGGGCAAATGGCTTGTTGCAGATGACGCACTTGTAGGGCTTGCTGCCCGTGTGGACCGACATGTGTCGCTTGAACGAGTCCTTCTTCGTGAAGGTTTTCCCACACTCCTGGCACACAACCTTTTCCCGCTTCTCGTGCTGCATGACCATGTGCTGGTCGAGATTCTCCTGGCTGACCATCCGCCTGTGGCAGATCTGGCACTCGAACTTGGGCTTGAAGTGGGCCCACTTTTGGTGCACGTACAGGGAGCCCGTGTTCATGCACATTTTGCCGCACACGTCACAACTGATTGGTTTCTCTTTGTGATGGAACCTCACGTGATTCGTGAGGTCGCCCTTGACCTTGAACTGCTTTGAGCACATGTGGCACTGGTGCTCGTAGCGGTCGGTGTGCTTGCGGATAAAGTGCGACTGGAGCGAGTGCTTGGACCGGCAGACGAAGCCGCAGGCCGCACAAGGAAAGACCACTCCAGCCTGAGCCGTGGTCCGCTTGCCATCACCACCAGCAGCAGAGGTCGTGTTGGTTTCGTGCTGGTTGCGCAGGTGGTTGGCAAACTCGGCCTTCTTGTCGGTCCTGTAGTCGCAGACGGTGCAGTTGTAGGTGCCGTTCTCCTGAACGCAGAGCTTGCGCTTGTGCGTCAGGGCGACGTGCTTCTTGAAGGCCACGGGCGAGTCGAAGCTCTCCGAGCAGACCTTGCACTTGAGCGAGCTCGACTTCGACCCCACCTCTTCCTCGCCGTCATCCTCGTCGTTGTCCATTGGTTCCACCAAGAGATCCCCCTCCTCCAATCCCTCCTCGGTTGCTGCTGATTCCTCCTCCTCGACCGAGGACTTGGCGACCTGTTCGAACCTCACTTGGTCGCCTTCCATTTTTATCTGAAACAATTTACCGAATTGCGGCTCGGTTGGTGGTGCCTTTTCTTCCGGCTTCTTGACTCTCGTTGACCGCCTCTTCTCCGTCTGGCCGTTCAGGAGGACGTTGCTACTGGATAACCGGGTCGAGCGTGCCGGGACCGGCTCCTCGGTGCGGTCCTCGTCGCTGTGATCGCTAGGCACTTGCTGGTGCTCGTCGTCGTCGTCGTCGTCGTCGTCGTCGTCGTTATTGTCGACGTCGTCGATGATACCCTCCTCCGTCAATTCAGGGATGATCTCTTCCTTGATCGGTTCGTCCTCTTCCGGGACGAAGGCGTAGTAGGGCTTGCCGTCGAACTCGAGGAGCTGCCACTTGCGCATCACCAGGGTCTCGCGCTCGAAGATGAAGATGCCCCGGTCGGAGGAGCGCTTCGCCGGATCTATGGACCTGAAACAGCAGCGGCACGGCTGTGTTAAAGCGATCTGGATTGGCATGGGTGTAGCGCGAGATTAAAACGGAAAAGGAAAAATTTAATTTAACTTGGTTCGTGTGAGCACGCTTTTTTGCATTCTCATGCGATTGATGATCTCAAGGATTCTCGTCTGCGTTTTTTGCACGGCTTAGTTTTGTTTTACAACAGTCGACAATGAGTATACGAAAGGAAATCGTTTGAATGGTTTTTCTCCAGTGTTTATTAGTGTGACTTGGTAATGAAATAGAAAGAGAAAAAAAGGAACAAATAGGTTTTCCTGAAATAAAATTTTCACACTGTTAACTACACTTGTGAAAAACGAAAGTTCATGTAATCAAGGTCTGATTTAATTTAAAATGGAACTTTAATACTTACCACACGGTGTATATTGTCTCGTGAAGTAAAACAACGTGACAAGGTGTGTTTAACCAGTAATTTTATTTTTTATTTATTTATTTTATTTATGTATTTTTTATTTTTTTACAAACGTTTATTACGAAAATGATAGAAAAACTCCATCCATCCGAATAAGATAAAAGCGATATTTGGAGTCAAAGTATTTACATTTTCTATTTCAAGTCACAAATGATTTCACACATGTACATTATTATTATTATTATTATTGTTATTATTTTTTTTTTTTTTTTCGTAGCACAAGTATACGTCAAGTCGCAGTTTAAAACAATTAAAAAAAAAAGGCAAAATATAAAATCAAATCAAATTAGGCAAATGGTATCAGTACTTAACCAAGGCTTAATATCTAATTAATACTAAGCCTAAAAATTCACTCAATGTTCTTATTCTGTATGATTGAAAGTTCGGTTGCACATTTTATCCTTAAAAATGCGTCACTTGTCGCAGGTGGCGAGTCGGTTGGTCATGGTGCTATGATTAATGCGTTCTTCGATGCCGGGTCGTAGAAAAATTAGGTGTCAATCGCACGATGTGTATCTTCGTGGCAAAATAAAACGGCAAACTTTTGAATCGTCCTTTGCTTTTCGACAGCCAAGCCAACAATGTCATTCGATGGATACGACGGGAGGACGACTCGTGGAAGAACGCCACGAGCATTGCAGCAGCTCGTTTAATCAAAGACCGTTTCCTCCTCTACCACCTGCTCCTCTAGTCATTCTTCCTCCTCCACCGGCGGTGGGATTTCGTTGAGATAGCTGTCGATGTAGACCACTGGCAGGGGCGGATGTGACCCAGGGTGGGATTTTCTATGGCAGATCAGTCCAGGCTTCTGAGTGAACGCTTTACCACAAATGTCACAGACATAAGGCCTCTTGCCCGTGTGTATGAGCAAGTGCTGCCGGTAAACGGCCCTCCGGGCGAACGCCTTGCCACAGAGTTGGCAGGTGTGCGGCCTCTCGCCAGTGTGGGTCATCAGGTGCTGTTTGAGCTTGCTGGGCTGGGTGAAGACCTTACCGCAGAGCTCGCACTGGTACTTGTTCCTCTGCTCGTGCTGCCTGAGTATGTGATCGTCAAGATTCTCCTGGGTGACCATGCGCCTGTGGCATATGTGGCACTCGAACTCGGGCAGGTAGTGCTCGCGCTTCTGGTGGACGTGCAGGGCGTTCGAATTGTAGCATATCTTGCCACAAACGTCGCAGACCGCGGGAATGCGTATGTGCTGGAAGCGCACGTGCGAGCTAAGGTCGACCTTGGTCTTGAACTTCTTGCCGCAGGTCTCGCACGGGTACTTCGGCTCAGTCGAGTGTTTGCGCTCCACGTGCATCAGCATCTTTCGTTTGTCGTTGGTCTTGAAGTCGCACTGCTCGCACATCGTTTCGGGAGCCGGCTGCTTGCGCTGCCTTTCGGGCGTCGGCTGAATGAAGCCCGGGTGCTTTCGTCGCGTGTGGGCGTTGAGGGTGGCCCGGTGGGACGACGTAAACTCGCAGTAGATGCAAGCGTGGGCCAAATCGAGGTTCCCCGTGCCACGCTGGGCCTCCAACTGGAGACGCTGCTCGAGCGTTTCCTGCCAAGCCTGGGCGTGCTTGCGCGTTATGTGCAGGTTCATCGATGAGCGGATGTCACTCTCAAAGTCGCAGTACGGGCAGCCATACTGCTTCAACAAGACCCTCGCCTCTTCCTGCACCTCTTCTTCTTCTTCTCCTTCCTCTTCGTCTTCTCCGTCCTCCATCCCAGCGGGGGCAAAGTCTTCCAACTCATCGAGAGCCTCGTCGGCGTGTTGTTGCTCCTGTTTGTTCTCCTGAGCCTCCAGGTGTTGTTGCTGATTCTCATGCATCAATTCGATTTCCAGCATCGCCTGGACCTCCTCCTTCGTGGGATCTATCTCCTCGTAGGTGATGGACCCTTGGTCTTCGGGCACCATGGACTCCACCATCTCGGTTTCTTGCACGTCCTCCTTCTCATCCGCAACCTCCTCCGGCATTTCCTCTTGCTCCTCCTGTCCCTCGTCGCGCAACACCACCTGTTCATCCTCCAACTCGTCGTACGCATCGTCTTGCAGTACCATCTGCTCTTCACCCTCCTCAGGCGCCTCGTCTTGCAATATCACCTGCTCGTCCAGTTCATCGAATTCCTCCTTTTCTCTCACCATTTCCATCTCTTCCACTTCCTCCTTAGCCTCCTTTTCCTCCATCAATTCTGGCTCCTCCTCCTTATGCACCCACCTCTCCTCGATATTCTCGTGGGGAGATCTCTTTTCCATCACGTGCTTGCTCTCGATCGTGAAGGAGGTCGAAGGCGTGCGCACCTCGACCGACTTGTTTTCCACGCCCGGGTGCTTGATCGTCGCGTGCAGGATCATCGTGGGTTTTTCGCTGGTCCGGAAATTGCAGTAACGGCACTTGTATTGCCTCGTGCCGTTGACATACGAGAACCCAAGTGAATTGTTTTTTTTTCGCGAGGCGACCAGCTTGAGCCTGCTGTTGCTGGAATTGGTGAGGACCGATTTGCCGGAGGATTTTTCCGGGTGCGTCGAGTCCATGTGGTTGGTGAGCATCTGCTTCTGGGTGAAGTAGATCTCGCAGATCTTGCACACGTAGACGGCTTTATTGTCGGACGGGTCCGACATGGCTTGGGGCTCGAAGCTGTTGCTGCGGCCGTCGATCGAAACCTCCTCGAAGTCGCTCTCGTCGAGGCCGTTGGCGGACTCGGGCTCCAAGTGCGGGATTATGCTCGTTTTCGGGACGATGGCCTCGTAGTGGTTGCCCTCGTTGTCTATCACGATCTTCTTGTTGCCGTCCGTGGTGCGCTTGCTCGAGATCCGTCGGCGTTTTCTCCTGGAAAAAAGAGAAAAAGATCGTTAGCGTCGTGGTTCACGGGAGACGGGCCGGGCAGCCGTCACGTGCTCTGTTTATCATCACTGATCATTGTGCTATTGTGTTGTCGATTAGGTTTAGCTGAAATGTGACGTTCGGGAGCAAAGAGGAGGAGGGTCGAATAAAACATGAGAGGGGCCTTTTTTTTTTTTTCTCTCTCTTCTTTTATTAATTCACCATCGGTTTACAGCGCCGTGTCTTTGGTGAAAGTATCATCAAAGATACTTTCGTCAAATCGCACTATAACGAGCAGATTCACGAGCAAAACGGATACAGTTTCTATTTTCACTCAAACTAAAATCTCCTACGAGGAAGGAGTAAAACTTTTGACAACACTCGTTACAATGTTTTATTTGCACATGTTTCTACATAATTTACAAAAATGTGTACGAGCTTGTCTATAGCTTTTTCACGGTTTGTTAAAATCTATGGTGTTACAGTTATTCCAATGGACACATTTCATTGTAAGCTTGAATTTGTAAAAAATGTTTTTAATAAATATGACAGACAAAAAAACAATTATATGCCAACTAAAAGAAATCTTTTCCTTTTTACTTATGTCGATTTGTTACTCGTTACATACTCAACGAATAAGAATCAATTTTTTGTTCTTATGAATCATTGCATAGGACAAGAGAAAATTATTTTATTCTTAGGGATGATTTCTCACTGGATCTAGAGGTTGTATGCGATGTTTATGTATAAACGCTGAAAAAATGAGTATTCAATTTTACATGCATAAGGGGGTTAATTGCCACATTATCTGTCGACTTTCATCGGGGCTTCCTAGTTTTGAACCATTATTAGGTACTACAATGCGTACATTACTCTGAAGGACCATTACAATTTTCATTATACTTAAAAATGTACTGGATACAGAATAAAATTCAAAACAGAGCTCACGATATTTGTTTTAAAAACTGCTTACAAAACTATACAAATTGCTAAAAGAAGCAGATAGCTGAAGAAATAAGTTCGCTTGGAAACTCAATCATTCTACTGATTAAAATCAACCTTCTTCCTCCTCGTCGTCGTCAAGCGTCGAGAGCACGTGTTCAATGGTAACTCTCGGCAGAGGCGGGTGCGACCCCGGATGAGATTTCCTGTGACTAATCAAGCCTGTCTTTTGCGTGAACGCTTTGCCACAAATGTCGCAATCGTAAGGCCTCTTTCCGGTGTGTATGAGCAAGTGCTGTCTCAGACCGTTCCTCCGGCCAAAGGCCTTGCCGCAAATTTTACAAGAGTGTGGCTTGACGCCCGTATGGACCCTCTTGTGTATCTTGAGCCGTGCCTTTTTAGTAAAAGTCTTGCCACACTCGTCGCACGTGGCCTCTTGCCTCTGCTCGTGCTGCTTTAGGACGTGCTCGTCGAGATTGGCTTGGCTGACCATCCGCCTGTGGCATATGTGGCACTCAAAGTCGGGCTTGTAGTGGGCAAATTTTTGATGCAGGTACAAAAGATTGCTGTTTCTGCACACTTTGCCACACACGTCGCAAATGATTGCCTGCTCGCGGTGCTGGAAACGTATGTGGTTCGTCAAATCGGCCTTGACCTTGTACTTTTTCCCGCAGGTCAAGCACTCGTGGTTGTACTCCTCGCAGTGCTTGCGCATAAAGTGAACCTTGAGCGAGTGCTTGTTCTTGCTCACGTAGTCGCAGTGCTCGCAAGGAAAGCCATTCTGTTTCTTGACGACAACTTCGATCCCACTTTCATCGGGCTTGTGCTTTCGCTTTATGTGCTGGTTAAGCTGGCTCTTGGCCCAGGTGGAAAAATCACAGTGGTCGCAAAAGTAAACCCTGCCCTCTTCTGCATTGGGAGGCGCACTGTGCTGTTTTTTGTGCCACTCCATGAGCTTGGCGTTCATGCACTTGAACTCGCACTGGTCGCAGTTGTGGGAGGCGTTGGGATCGAGTTTGGCCGCCTCCCGCCTCGGCTTGTTATGCTTGATGGAAATGTGTCGCTGCAGACCCATCTTCGAATTAGTTTCGTAGACGCACATGTTGCAATTGTACATACCTTGGTCGTTGGCCTTGTGCTCGTGCCCCTTCAGATGAAGCTGCATCGTTTTCCGACATTTGGACTTGAAGTCGCAACGATGGCAGTCGTACTCGGTGACCGGCACCTCCTTGATCGGCGGCTTGCCGCTCGCGTGCTCGCGAGTATTGTGAGCATTGATACTTATGACAGTCGCAGCCACGAAGGTGCAGTACTGGCACGCGTAGCCCGTGTGATTTTGCAGACCGATACCACGCCTATGCGACCTGCGGCTCTGTACTTGCTGCTGGGACTTGCTGGACCCCTCCTCCTGTTCCTTATGCTGCTGCTGCTCTATCTCTTTCTCCCTCTGCTCGGCTTCCGTCTCTTCCCTTGGTTCCTGCTCCGACACGTCGACAATCGGCTTTTCCCTCAAAGATTCTATCTTAGCTACGCGGATTCTCCCGGGCCTAACCGGCTCTGTGGCTTTTTCATCCGAGTCGTCCACCTTCGGCTTGTTCATCCTGATGCCGTGCTTGCGAAGCATGTGGGACTCCAAGTCTTGGCGGCGCACGGTCGTGTAGAGGCAAATGTTGCAGGCAAACTCGACGACGTTGCCGCCGCCGCCGCCGCTGCTGCTTCTCTGGCTCTTATTTAGGAGGGACTTTTGCCACTCCTCCCGGTGTTTTCGTTTGATGTGCGAGTGGTAGGTCGACCCGATAGCCGAACGGTACGGACAATACGGACAGATCCTCACACCCGCCGTCTTTTCCTTCTGCGTGAGGGTGTTGACCAACTCGACCTCGTTGCTTTCCACCTCCACCACGTTATCAAACTCCTCGATCGACTCGATCGGCCAAGTCGACTCGTCCTCCACGTCGCTTTCATCTATCTCGCTCTTGGCCTTCACCTTGTGGGGATGCTGGTTCGTCACGTGGGATTTCACGACCGAGCGAATGACCGACCGGAAATCGCAATTGTTGCACAAGTATTGGCCATCTGTGTCCTTCTTAAAGCCGTCAAAGCTCGACCCCTCGATCAGCGGTACTATCGTAGTATGGGCTCTTTGTTGTTGCTGCTGCTGCTTCTTTCTGATGGTGCCCTCGATCGTAATGGTTCGCTGGCGTTGATTGTTGTTGAGCTTTTTCGCAGGAGATGGTTTTTTTGGTTGCGACGAGGTGCCTACCTCTTTGATGATGGTCATGGATTTTTTGTGAATTTTCTTCTCGTGATCGGCGAGGTTCTGCTCGTCTGGGAACACCATTTTGCACGGCTGGCAAATGTACACGGTTTTCAGGTCATTGGGCTTGGTCTTGCGTTTAATCGCAATCCTCGTGGACGACTTTCTCGTCGAAACCGGCAGGTATTTGACAACGACTCCTGGTTTGAAGGGACTTTTCTGACGTTGGATGCTCTCGAAGATTTTCTGGTTGACGAAGATTTTTTTGCTTGTCGACGCTGATGACGGTTGTCTGAAAATAAAAGAAAAATCGGTGGTTAGTGCCGGGGCCTTTTGTTGCGGACCAAAACCGTACAGCATCGATTTTTTATGACACGAGTCGACGTGGGTATCGGGTAACTTATAAAAAAAAAAAAAAAAAAAAAAAAAAAAAAAATCATTTATCAATACATGAATCAAAATTAATTTTGCGTCAATTGGTAATTCAACATCGACGCATGACTTTTAGGATCGACACTGCGTGGTTAGCTGTGGTAAATAAGAATGCTATTTGTCTTGCATACCCGAGTCTATAAAGTGTGTCCCTGGACTGGTCAACAGACAATATAAGCATGATCGGCTGTTTCTTAGAAGTACGCTGGGGCGCAGATAAATAAGGGAGGAGAGGTGCAAATGATAAACAAACAAAAAAAACGTTCAAATGAACTGAACAATTTTATTTCGACACAACGTCACTTGCTCTCTTGAGCCTTTTATTTTTTTTTTTTTTTTTACATCAGTCCGTATACTCTACAGTTGCTTAATTTTAGAGACAATGTTGAAGTATGAAAATTGCATATTAAATTTTTTTTTTTTTCATACATCGACACCGGAAAAAACCATGTTCATTATAAAAAAAAAAAAAAAAAAAAAAAAAAAAAAAAAAAAAAAAAAAAAAAAAAAAAAAAAAAGATTAATTGTAGAATTCCACGTAAATGATCGTATTAAATACCCTTTGTTAACATTACATACCAAGTATTATAAAATTACGGAAGAGCGATTGAGAAGGAAAAATCCTTTGAGGATGAAATGTTTTCAAACTCAAGTTCCAACTTGTGCGAAAACAAAACAAAAAGAAAAAAATACACATTGTGTAGAATTGAAAAAAAAAAGTGCATCTACGTGTCGTCAAGCGTCGAGAGCACGTGGTCGATGGTAACTCTCGGCAGAGGCGGGTGCGACCCCGGATGAGATTTCCTGTGACTAATCAGCCCTGGTTTCTGAACAAACGCCTTGCCACAGATGTCGCAGAGGTAAGGCCTCTTTCCGGTGTGTATGAGCAAGTGCTGCCTGAGGGCCGTCGTCCTACTGAAGGACTTGCCGCATATCTTGCACGGGTACGGCTTGTCACCCGTATGGACCCTCATGTGTATCTTCAGGCGGCTCTGCCGCGTGAATATCTTGCCGCACTCGTGGCACACGGCGTCCTTGCGCTGCTCGTGCTGGCTGACGATGTGCTCGTCGAGGTTGGCTTGGGTGACCATCCGCCTGTGGCATATGTGGCACTCGAACTCGGGCTTGTAGTGGGCAAATTTTTGATGGACGTAGAGCGAGTTGCTGTTGCCGCACACTTTGCCGCACACGTCGCAAATGATTGACTGCTCGCGGTGCTGGAAACGTACGTGGTTCGTCAAGTCGCTTCGGATCTTGTACTTTTTTCCGCAGGTCTCGCATTCGTGCGAGTAATCCTCGCTGTGCTTGCGCAACACGTGGATCTTCATCTCGTACTTGCTCTTGTTCGTGTAGCTGCACTGCTCGCACTTGTGGATGCTCGGCTTCTTCTCGACCGTCGCCTCCTCGCCTTCCATCCGGTGCTTTTTGTTGATGTGCAGGAACAGGGCGCTCTTGGATCGCGCCTTGAACCCGCACTCGTTGCAAGAGAACTTGGCCACCGGGATCGGCTGGCCGTCCTTGTGCCTGCGCCTGTGCGAGTACATCGTACGCCGGTTCGAGCACTTGTAGTCGCAGATCTCGCACTTGTACGTGGGCTCGGCAGCCCCGCCGAACGGCTTGTGCTTGCGCGTCATGTGGCTGTGCAGGCCCGCCCGAGTGGGACACTCGAAGCTGCACGTCTGACAGGCGAACATCGTTTGGTTCTTGGGATCGCAGCTGTGGAAGTCAAAGTCGACCTGGTTGTCGGACGAAAAGCCGCACTTGCTGCACTCCAGCTCCAAGGACTCGTGGTTGTTGTCGTCCGAGTCGTCCTCCGTTTTCACTTGTTTCTGGTGAAACTCGGAGTAGTGGCTGACCATAGCGTCGCGATTGTCCGTGCCGAACAGGCACGACGGACACTTGTAGGTCGACTCCACGTTATCATGTTGTGGGGCTCGCTGGGCGACCTTGACCACATTTTTTTCCAAGTGCAACGATCGCTCGACCGGTTGATTCATCTGCTGTTTCAGGGGAGTGTGGGTGGCTTGGTGGCACTTGAGCCTTTGCTCCGTGGCGAAGATCAGCTTGCACATTGTGCACTTGAAGAGGTTCCTCGTGACTTTTATCTCACCCTTGGGCTTGAACGGCAACAGGGTGTAACTCGTTTTGCCGTCCGCGTAGCTCAACTTGTAGAGCGTCATTGGGGGCTTCGTTGCGTTCGGCTTACTGCTGCACCTTAAACACAAACAAGACCAACAATTAGTCGAAAGTCTCCTGCTTGGTGTCGGGAGTACTGGCCCAAGCGCTACTTACTCTTCGGATTTTTGTTTTTTGTTGTTTTTTTTTTTTTCTTTCTTTTGTTACGTTTGGGTAAGGGATCATTTTATTGGATCGAGTTGCAGGTTTTGCACTCGTCGAGGCTTACGCGAACAAGGAACAAAACCTCGCTCGGGACGAAAATCGAGAATAAAATTACAATTGAATTTTAGCGTATTTGGTAGCTGGAAGATCCAAAATAATAAACAAACCTTGGTTTTTTTTTCAAATCGCATGTTGAACAAAAATAATTTTCTTCAATAACACGTTGTAAAGGGATACTTGGGACGCTTACAAAAAAAACGTACAACTCAAATTTTATGTTTTTTNCTGCGATCGAAGCTCCGAGGTTGGCTCTTTCTACGGTTGCGAGGCGTATATATGTGATGTCTGCAGGAACTGGAGGATATACGTACGCACGTATCTGCTGATATGGCACTACAATTTTACAGGCGGTGATGGTTGTGTTGATGGTGGTGGTGGTGGTGGTGATAGCGGTTTTTAAGCACTTTTCTATTGGTTCAAACTACTACTTGTGCCCCTCTTTTTTTTTTTTCAATTGTTAGTCACTTGGCAGAGGATCTACTTACTTAATGAGAGCAGTAGACAATTGGTTTTTATTTGTTATGTTTTACTTATCTCTCTTTTATAATATATATATAATTCGAGCATTCCTTAATACGTACAATCAAAATCAGAGGCTCGCAGAGGTTTCGGTTTTAAGCGTTTATTCATCAAAATATACTTGGGATACATTGGTAAATGTTTTTTATAGAAGTGTATGAGTATACAGTTCGAAAGAGTACAAATTATTATAGTTATACTTTAAGTGAGTATATATGGTTATCTTAACATTATTAATCATTCGTATGAGTAAGTACATGTTTGTTGTCTTAAACTAAGTAAATGCATAAGAGCAACCGCGCCCGTTGCTTTGAGAACTGCAATAGCAGCAACAGTATTTGTTTTAAGTACCTTTGGAAATGCTCAAGTTTTGTACCATCGAAAAAATTTGTTAAACAAAAGAAGAAAAAAAACGGCTCATCATTTTTGGCAATTTTCTTAAAAATCCATCGAATAATTTCGTTGTTATTTTGTACTGAACTGGCAACAGATCGAATAATCCTAAGAGTACGCTATTAAAAAAGTTTTTTTTTTTTTGGCAGCTTATAAAATCAGGTAATGTCAAGTTTCTTAAAACTAAGATTAAAGCTTAAGAACCCAAAATTCCTACTAATTCGTAGAAAAAAAAAAAACAACAACTAAAATTAAGAATTGGCACGAAAATTGGCGTTTGCACTATGCTGTGTAAATTTATTGTTAATATTATTATTAAATAAATAAAACGGAAGCTTACAAAATACACGGAATGCATTGTTAACTACAAAAGAAAGGGGGAGGAAACGTGTCTCTATGAATTTCTGGTCGCAAAGCAAAACGAAAGAAAGTAAGCGTTGATAAAACGTCGGATGAACCATCGTATAAACAAAAAAAATCCATCAATTGACCCCCAAAGTGTATATATTATGTAGGCAGGTAATGCTAATTATTGACTCTTTGAAAGCACTAGGCTCTACTCGACGGGCAGCTCGTCGTCCATAACGATCCTGACACTGTGATAGATATCGGCGATCCTGATGGGCGGCGGTGGCGGCTGGTGGATGTCCGGGTGTTGTTTCTTGCGATGGAACATCATCGGCGACCTCTGGGTGAAGCTCTTGCCGCATATGTCGCACTTGTAGGGTCGCTCGCCGACGTGCTTGAGCATGTGCACCTGGAGGGTGTTGAGTTGGCAGAAGCCCTTGCCGCACACCTGGCAATTGTGGGGCTTTTTGTCGGAGTGGGTGCGCATGTGCCGGGACAGGTAGTCCCGGGTCTTGAATTCACGGCCGCACTGCTCGCAGGTGTACTTGGCCTCGTGGAGCCGCGAGTGGGTGTCCAGGTTGGCCTGGCTGGCGAAGCGCTTCTTGCAAACGCCGCACTCGTGCTCGAGGGTGCGTTTCTTGTGCGTGTAGTAATGGTGCATGTTAAGGGCGCTCTTGCGCTCGTACACCTTGCCGCAGACGTCGCAGACGCAGGGTCCCGACTGGTGGTCCTTCATGTGGCTGAGGTAGAGATCGCGGATCTTGAACTTGCGCTGGCAGAGCTCGCACGAGTACTTGAAGTTGTCGGTGTGCTTGATCGTGGTGTGCCGGGCGAGGTGGCACTTTGACTTTGTGACAAAGTCGCATACGTCGCACGAGTACTTGGGCACGCTGTCGTTGTGGATGAATTTGATGTGCCTGGCCAGGTAGATCTTGGTCTTGAAGAGCTTCGAGCACACGTGGCACTTGAAGTCGCGCGAGTTGTAGTGCCGGTTTACGTGGCTCTCGAGGTGGTCGCGACGATAAAACGGCACCTTGCAGATCTCGCAGACGTACTCGTACTTGCGCTGGCTGCCGTTCTTGCTCTTGCGGCCCCTTTTCGGTAGGGGGTCCACCGATTCTTCCTCGATTTTATAGCCCCAGAACGTTTCGAAGTCTCTGATAGCTTCTAACGAGTGTCTTAGCAATTTTCTCCTAGAAG